GTGTAACTTCTATATTGCTGGTTACATAAAACTTTATATCGAATTGATATCACAATATTTTAGCAAATGTCTTTCATGTCCGCATTACCATACTCGGGTCGGAGTTTATGGCGGGTCAAGATAACGCTTCAAATTTAAGCCTTAGAGACAAGAGAGTGTCACAAGCAATTTTTCGCAGAAACCGACCTCCGACTCCGGCTTTCTAAAGTGGGTGTACCTAATTCTTGCACTTATAGCAAAACCCGTTCCCTTATTCAAGACCCTTGCCTTGCCCCTAACATCAAGACCTAACATCAAGACCAAGACCAAGAAGTTTTTCTTAAGGAAACTACGTTGAAATGTCTGCTTATAAATTTATGCAACGTCCTTATTTGCAAAAGAAACGCTATAGACTACAGCTGACATCAGCAATTCATGAAGCTCTCCCTTCATCGATAAAGAAGTGAAGATTCGTAGATTTAGAGCGTGATATTATTTATTACTCTGTAGGTTCGTATGAAAACAAACTTCTCACAGTAGCATTCATATGAATCAACATGTCAGTGGTTTTGGAAATAAGATTGATGTTCTTTTAATGTCATCTATTCATTAGGCTTCTTATAAAATGTCAGATATCGTGTCGGTAGTTTTCATCTCAGTGATCGGTTATACCATACGGTGAAAGATTTATAATGAGACAAATGAGTCGAGACTACTTGAGACGATATGCATTCGTTGTGATTCCCAGACGATCCCGAAATAGGTATACACCAGTTAAGTACTTTGTGTGACTCACGCTTTATGTGTTAAGAAGGGAAATCTACACGGTATATAATTGTAATTTGATAGATAGATAAATTTAAAACACAATAATTATGATGTGTATGATTTGCACGGCAGGAAAAAGTCCAAAGCGAATATTTTATTTCTTAGTAACAGGTCTATTAGTTCTCTGTTACTTTAAAACATAAATTCTACTTGTTTTAAGATGCAAATAAGCTAAATATTAATGCTCAGCTAGATGAAGAGCCCCCAGGAGGAAAATGCAATGTATGCCGCTTGCCGTAAAGATGAAAAAATAAAACAGTCTTGTGAAATCTCGTGCACCTATTGTAATAAAAAAAAATTAATGGTGTACTTACATACTTTACCACGTTCCTTACGAAATGCACACAGACTGGACGTAATTGGATACGCTGTATAAAAGCAAGTAGGCTTCAATTTAAATGAAAAAGGTTGCAGTACACCTTGCCCATGAAAATATAATGCTTTTAAAGAAGCCTTGTCAGATTATAGCCCTTTAATCCCACACGTCCAACGTACCCTGTGGTTTTATTATTCAAGCCGTAGAAAGCCATGATAAAATTGTTTACTTTATAAATAACATGTAACACTGCACAATTTAAAGTAACCCTTAACTTTAATCTCAGCAGTTCAAGTAAGTATTTCCTGTTCAATAATAATGACTAAATTACTCCTTGCTCGGACCCATGAATATTGAACAAGTAATAAATCAATGAACAGGGCCACGGAATCGTTTTATGCCAAAAACAAAGGAAGGGTGCTTTACAACACATTCACTTTTATATTCAAGAGTTACGGATGAAAGAAGTTCGTTTGCGGAGAATCGCCTCGTTTCGCAAGTTTTAGCCGATAAATTGTTACGGGCGGTTGCGTGCGAATTACTTCCTCCGAGTTCATCGACATTTTATCTAATTTGAACTTGATCTTAGTGTTCGGTTGTAAAAAAGCTGAGAATTCATGAAATACTTTATATTACCTATACACATTTTTCTTCTAAAATTCTTTCGTAACCTCAATGTTTTCTTTTGAGTATAGTTGGTTACACATCCTTCATCATATACCATTTTCCGAAACCAGTTTTGCACAACAGGTTGCTTCTATGCGCTGATAAAGCGCCCTTGCAAGACCTTCTCAAAGTCGTGACCTCATAGGACCTTGCCTTCAGCGCAGTTGTATACGCACTGTAATAGTATAATGTACTTACATGTGCATTTACTATAGTAGCAAGTGTAGCAACGCTTTGCTTTGCTGTCTTGTCAATTGAGTATCTTATCTATAATTTATTATAATTCGCCGGAACGATGTTATCTTTGTTGGTTATATTCCAATAAATACTAATCGGTCAGAGTAACTGCGAAAAAAAATGTACGTCCCATATAATTGGGACAAAATTCGTAACGTGCATTGATAATAAATAAAGTTATATTTTTGACGTTTTGAACATTGTGCCATAAACATCGTGTCAATAAAGCAACGAAACAGCCAAAATCTCAAAGATAATTACAAAACTATACATAGATCTATCTGTTGTAATAATCTGTTCTCTGTTGTAAACATTGAAAACCCCTAATTTTGATAATAGGTAGGCACATAAAAACTTGATTCGATAAAGTTTAAATTCCGATCTGACATTGAAATGTACGACCATAATTTAAAAAAAACTAACATGTTATAGTATAAAATTACATTTCTTTTCCCGGCAATCGTAAATATGTGAGCACCGGTACCCCCGCCACCCACGTAGCCCCTGCGCGCGCGCCGTCCCGCAGGGAGCCAAGGCCGGCTCACAATGGGCCCACTTTTGCAGTACTTATTGCGATCCAATACTATTCAATCTCACTATCTATTTTATATGGAACCAGTTTCCTGAGGGCATTTCCCCTATAGACTGGTACTCACAGGGGTATTGAATTTGCAACAAGATCTTGACTTTCACTTGATAAGTCTTATCTAGTGAAACAAGACGTCAGGGAAATATTCTCGTATGCAGTATACATTAAAATGGGATTATGTAATTAATCATCGTAAGCCATAGCATTATCCGCATTATCAGTCCGATAAATTAATTGTTTATCACAGATGTGAAATCATTTATGTGTACAACTGTACCATCGGAGTGTAGACTTCATTTTGTAAACTGCATATATTATCAAGACTACAATGACCAATGTCAAGTCATATGCAAACGCGGCTGTATGGCCACGGATCCACCACAGTTGAAAATTTATTCTCCGCTTTGGCGTGCTACGGAATGTGCGACATTGCTGTCTTTGACCGTACATGTAAATACCTCGGACAGCATATTTAGGTGCATACTTTCAAGTTCGCATCCCGACTTCAGTATCAACAAAACTGGTTTGAACAGATTTTTTTTCTAAACTAGATACTGTATACCTGACCTACGTAAGCATTTTCAAACAACGATGATTTAGATAATATTGAGTAGTTATTCCGCTTTCCTCTATTAAACTGTTTTATTAAAATTTTTGGTTTAAACTGCCGTCTACTTTAAAGTCAAAGTTCTTATTGGCGAGATTCGTCCTTTGAAATGCACTTAGTTTTTTCCTACTATAGCATTAGTAGTTTCTTCTTCTTTTTAAAATGCCTAACTATAAAGTTATAAATCTGATACTGGCAATAACTTTTGATGCATTTCCTTCAGTTGCATTTTGTACAATGATTACTTTATTTATTCCCATTGTATTCAAGAGCAGAACTTTGTACTCAAACAATTCATTGTTTTGTCGATAAATAATATCATCCATTTTCTCCTATCGATAATTAGAAACTGAAATGGGTATGGTCATGTCACGATCTCCGAACACGATTCTATGCAAGGGCAATAACTCACTTGTCTCTCTGTGTATCCGCTGCACATCGCTTCCTCCTTCTGTACCTAATAAACTATACTATAATCTAGACTAGATCACAGTTAATCAGCATCCGTCATTAGCAAAACGTTAACGTTCACGATGTAACAAAACTACGGAACAGCCGTTTGTCGTCGTGATTAATTTTGACTGAAATGTATTTGCTGCACTGACAATGATTTATTCAATTGAATGGAACAGTTAGATCCTGAAAGGTCATAGAACACGGTGATAATGTTCTGTTCGTGGTACAAATGCGAGTTAGGTGTGAAGCAATCAAGAAAAGGTGAAATGAGGCATCGTGAGGACCGGTAACATTAATCCCGATAACCTGGGGGGCGGGCTCTTGACTAATGGCGGATTATTTGTCTGTTTCATGTAGTGATGGGACTCGAAGCGGCCTTTTATTTGTTTGTTAGCTAACTATCTTTTAATGATACGTTATCTGATAGTCCTGACTCTTATTTTAACATTTAACATAAGTTGTCTCTTAGACACATTCTATGACAAAGTGTTTACCTTATGGTTCTGTTTTGGTCCAATAAAAAGGAACGAACATTTAAGTGGTAAGGCGTTAAGGTTTATTTCTCGAATGATCATTTACATAGTTTATGAACTATAACATTTGACTAGGAAATTAATTACCTATATACCTAAATAATATCCATGCGTAATTGCACAACTAGATAGTATATTGCCCATACATATTATTATACCAACATTTACGAGCCTGAACATAAACTACTATCATTTGATTGAGTAGTATAGTATGATGACACCCAATTACAACTTCTACATTAATCAATGCAAATTAGAAGTAAACGTGATGTACTATGTCTGGACTAAAGACAAATATTGTATGAATCGTGAATTGTTAGAGATGTATTGGCAATAATAATTATTATTGCCAATACATCGAAACAAACCAGTTTTAGCCAGTGGCTAAAACGCTTCTTTATTCGAACGGTCGTCACAACTTGCGAAAACTTAACTCTAAGAATGTTAATTAACACCATTGCTACGCAGCCATGATAAGTCGTGAGAGACGATTAAGTAGGGCTGGGAGACGGCTAACGATACTCGAGTAGGAAACTAGATAGAAAACTAGATTTGAATAGAAATGGCTGCGCAATCAGTCACTCGAATTGAGATTCACACAGCATTCTTGAGCTTCGTTCCAGAAAATGAGGCTTAGTTAAATAAAAAACACTAAGATACTAATTGATACATAGCTTATTAAAATTTTTTGGTTAACACTATTAAAGACATGATTGCCGTGATATACATAGTTGTGACGCCAGCAAAATGTTTTCCTTTCCTTTTATTGTTACGTTATTTATTTCATTCATGTTATTTTCGATCTATCGTATATCTTCAAATAATAATATTCAATATTCTTTTGTTACAGCGGAGGGCAGCCTGTCCGACTTTGCGGATCGCAAAGTCCAATACACGGCAAGTCATCCCCTCAAAAAGGGCCTGTTCACACCCGATACAAGGTAAAACGCTAACTTTCTAATTAAATTACCACTAATCGACGTTAATGTATCCCAAAGAATGGAACATTCTGTACCTACTGGTTTCGGGTAAAAGGTACCGATCGGTGCCTTGTAAAGTACACGATTCCTTTCGTAACAATTGATTAGCTGGCCTTTATTACTAATTAGTACTTAAACGTTGCGTTTTGCAATGGCTTATAAAGTTTTACAATGCGTGTCATTGCCGCAACAGTCACGTCTTTAGTCCCAATCGGTTGGGGAATTGATTTACTAACTGTAACAATAAGAATTCCCTATTGGCTGTAATATATCCTTGCAGTAAATATGAAATCATTCTAGGGTACATAAATTGGTCACCCAAACAATTTAATTACTCTTCGGTGTAGATATCAATACAAACAATATATTCTAATACATCCTCTTCACAGACCGTCGAGTATACGCAAGCTATATGAAAAGGCGACGACAGACCGTCTGTCTGCATCGATCCTAGACCAACTACGGAGGGATTCTCAGCACTCCCCATATCTGTTGTGCACCCCAGTTCTTAGCACTAAGCGAAGACGAATCTACCATAAGGTCGATGTGGAAATCGAAACCCGCATTGTAAGTAAATGAGTTTATTAAACATTAACCTACCAGCTTGATTGTAAAGGTAAGTTGTTTACACTGACAACGGTACTTAAGTCACCGCATACAAACAAGCTGACTATTTACTTTGAAATATGAAAAATGAGATTTAACACAAAAGTTGATTTATTTATTTGTCCGATCAACCGAAATATTGCTACAGAATGAATGATTCCAATTTGGGCTCCAATAAATTGCAAAAGCATTAATCCAATACCCTGAGAAATGTAAATGGTTCCAATACTCGCTTTATTAAAGCGTTGAAACGCAACTAATTTCCAGCCGTCAGTCGTTGAGCAACTTCGGAAATGGACGTCGAAAGAGGCAGTGGGTGACGTGACAGCCCTGCCGGACGCGTCCATGAGGATCGCAAGCAGCGTCACGTTGACGCCGGACGAGCTCTCTGAATGCGGGTCCGGAGACGACGAACCTATCGATCATCGGCTGCCCAGTCCCGACGAACAACTTAGGATCATTGCTTCCAAGTAAAAAACTATTTTGACAACCCTGATTTTATGTTTGCTTTAAATGCAGCGGCTGTCAATGGTATCAATCCGTTGCTACGATTGATGCCCAATTTATACAGCTGCTTTATTGACAGACTCAATCTGTAAAGATACGATCTGACTATATTCGAATGTTTGTTTGTTTAACCGTAGAAGTCATAGATTTTAGTCACCACTTGCATGAATATGGAATAGGTAACCGTACAGCTTATAAAGAAAGATTAATTTTCTTTCCTCCCACATAACAAGGCCCAGGCAGACTATTATGCACCTTAAAAACCAATTTCGCGGTTCACCTTCCAAATAAGAGCCTCGTTAATCCATTTTTATTGTTCATCGCTATTTAATGCAGCTGCTTCATAAAATGGTGTTATAAAACTTTAATAAAAATTTTATGCAGAGAAATAATGTTGTGAGATGACAGTTTTATCGTACAGTACTTATTATCAATAAAATTAGCATCAAACACTTAATGAGACCAAAGGAATGATCAATAAATAAGGTCACTAATTAATTATGTTGCATTATTACCGCGATAAGAAGGACATGCATGCATAACAATGAAAAATGTCTGTGTAATTTGTATATTGACCCGACACGATTTAATCAGGGAGATATTTTCAATGTATACATATTCGTACAAGTAGACTTATTTTCTACTTAATATTTTTTAATACAAGTAAACAGTCACCGTAGCCTATGTACATCTGCAATGCCAGAGGCATCAAGAGTGCATTATCGATCAAAATAGTAACATTTGTTTGCTTGACATTTTTTTTATAATCTACTATTTTACGATTTGCAGGTTCCCCCCGGAGGTCGTAGCCATCGATACGTCTGGGAAATTCTTCGATAGAATGTGCAGCTCCCGAAAATCTCTACACCTAGAGAGTACTACCGGTGAGACGGACACGGTGAAACGAAGGACCCGGACAAGAAAACCTCGGGGTAAAAGACGAAACACCATTTCGGGCACTGACCAAAAAGAGCTTAGAGAGGCTATAGCTGGGTAAGCTTCTAGTATGCACTGTATACACTCACACGGATTACATTATCTATCACTTGTCAACACTAAAATACTTTTATGTTTTTTGTTCATGGTTTTTAATATATATTTTTTTGTAGATAATGTAATCTCAAAGCGTCTCGATTAACGACAGTAACCGTTCAGCACAGTTCGTGAAGATATACAATTCAAATCTTGAGCACACATTTTTAACAACTCGTTGATAATACTATCGTGCTTCTGTGAATACATTATGTTTAACATTGGGTGTCATTGTTCGATTCAACGCTCTTATAACTCGGAAACAAAGACATCCAATCATTTGTGCACTTGATCACTAATAGTGCCATTTGTTCATTAGCTTCATGATTAATTTATCTCTAAAGCGTTCCGCTGTAACGAGACTAAGCGGCACGCTTTAAAGATTCTTCAACCATAGATATGCATTTAGCGTGTGACTAATGCTTTGCTTGGTTTGTTCTACCGTAGCGATACATCAAACGCGGCAGCTTCTGAAGAAATCGAAGATAGCAATACAGTCATCAGGTCGAAGTCTAGTGATTTACTTAAGAAAAGTCCTATCGATCCGGTGACCAAGAAGGGACACTTCAACTCTCTAAAACAATGGGGCAAAAACAGACTAAAGCTAATCGGTAGATCTCCTAGTGCCAGTAGGGATAACTTTAAGGATACTTCCAAGTGTGAGAAGGCTAAGGATTCAAAATCACCGCCTAGGCAAGTAGAATTGGTCCAAGATTCTGTGACGATGCGTAAGAAACGCCCCGGAGACGAAGACAGGAGGACACATCAGAGATGTGCATCGTATTCCTCTTCTGAGAAAAGTATAGGTGTCCCCAGTATCGTTCAACCAAATATCGCGACTATTAATACAGGCGTTAAATTACGAGGAACATCAGTACAAAGAAGACTAAGACGATCAGGCACTGCCAAAGATGAACCTCATTCGTCGAGTGGTAATTGGTCAGCAAGTTCTGAGTCCGGTCGGACGAGTATAGGTTCTGAGATAACCACTACAACAGTGCCTCCAAAAAGTACAACTTCAGCCGCGACATCTAACAATTCGTTGAATGCTCACCACGGCCCACCAAGTTCTATAATTAGTAGACGAAGATTCCTCAATACCTCAGGCTCAGGAAGTGCGACAAGTGAGGGCACGCTAACACCAGACATAATTCATGATTTGCACGAAGATTTGGAAACAAGTTCGGAATTCTCATGTGATACCGAAGGTTACTACACATCATTCCATATGGACTCGGGCTTGAAGACTTTGAAGGAAGAGGAAATTACGCCAAGTACACCTCTGCATACAAGTAATGCTCTTTCCAACTCCTCTAATAGTCAGAATATGACCGCGGAGAATGAATACGAATTATTTGGAAAGGGTTCCACAAGTACAACTACAAGTTCTGCTGGAACAGTTTGTACCACGTTAATGGCTGCTGGCAGCGATAGATCACTGGTAATAGGTCCAACAGTGCCGGAACGGAAGAGTTCATTAGCGAAAATGAGCAGAAATAGAAGTGCTAATGCACACAGCGCAAATACTAGTTTAGACAGGAGCATAAATTCATCATTCTCAAAGTCTCCTTTCAGCAGCCTAAGATATAACCCAGTAAGGTATAGTGATAAACCAGCATATAATAATTCTTCACCAGAAATAAATGAAGCTACTCCTCCAACTATCACCATTACAAGAAATGTCGGTAATCATACAGAAATAACAGCTGTAGCCGAAGTCCACACGGAGACTGAACTTGAGAGTGCCAAGAAAAGTACAGGTACGAGTTCTCCTGACTCAGGCCATAACACGTCTAGTTCACCTATTGAAGACTCCGTGTCTAGTGCGCATGGAAAGAACAGCCTATCAGAACAAGACTACTCAGAATCATCAGATCTCGAAGGTACAGAAAGAATAGAAAGGATAAGATACAAGACTACCATTAACAGCTCTAGAATTCCTTCCATGTGTGTAATAACACCGTCTAACTCTGATGACGAAAGTGAAAGTAGCAATAAAGATTCTGACATTGTTATCAAAACTCAAACGGAATTATCAAAAGTAGCCAGTCGGCCAAAATTAGACCTCCCGGTTGAAGAGAAACCGAAAGAAGTGAAAACACCTACAGAATTAACGAAGCCAAGTAATAAAGGAAGTCAAATTAAATCTTCATTACAGCCTTTTAATAGTTTAATGTGCAAATTAAAAGGTGTTCTCCCTCATAAACTGTCTAATAAAAAGTCACCGGTATCAAAAGAGCCAGAATTAACAGAGGACTTTTACGATACCGGGGATTACGTTACTATAGCTGATGTAAAGAATAATAACCAGAAATTAAGTCTGAATAGAGGCATCTACGGTAACAGTGATGTAGTCAAGAAAAATTTGCAAACTGTGCTCTCAGGTAAACTGCCAGAAACAGAATATGTATCACTTAATGAATTGCCAAATTGCCTTAGTGGAAGTAAAGACTATTTAGAACATAGCCTAGAAGATAAGCCTTCACCAGCACTAGAAGATGTTCAAATTAAAGGTGCAAAAGTTACACTTGACTCGCAAGGGCAAGTTATTTACTCGTCTGATACACTAAAGAGAAGAAAAGGAGCACACACCACTTTCGAGCCGGGACCGTTCGTGCAAGAAATTAAGCCAACGACAACGGTCATCCAACGTGAAACTGCTGATGTTGTGCAAGTTATTGACGAGACTGATTTCCCTTACGAACCACCGCCGCCATCAAGTAAGCCCACGTCCCCACAACTAGGGAAAATGATTATCAAAGCACCGACTGCTCCCGATGGACTAATGACTACAGAATTCGTTACTTTACCGACTCCCAAACCCAGTACAATTATTACTGCTACACCAATTACCGAAACACCTGTACTTAGCAACCAACAACACTCGAAAATAACTAAAAACCCACAAGACGTACCGCGAGTAGTAGAAGCAATCACTAGGACTGGGGCTTATGTAAATATACACGATGCGGAGGGTGTCAGCTTATCTCCGACGAAAGACGATTTAGCAGGTAAGAATGTTTCCTCAAAGTCTATATCAAGACAACTTTTCGAAACGAAATTGCAAAGTATAGATGTCGCTGACCTAGCTCCCCAAGTAAACGAACAAATAATTCCATTCGTTCCCAACTTCCAAACTCCTATAATATTGCAAAATAAATTCGAAAAACAAGAATTCCTCAAATCAGGCAGCAAAGTAGCTGAAGTTTTAAGAATGTTTACTAATAAAAATAATACTAATGGTAATGGAGAGTTTAGCCTCAGTAACACTAACGACGAACTTCTCGATAAATCAAATCTCAATAAAGTAAAACGTAGCGATAGCTATAAGTTGGCAAACTCCCCGTTGATGCCCATCAAAAAGCTACTGAAACTTGAAAGTTTTGGCACAAATAACAAAAAAGTGGACTCGCTAGAAATGATCCAAGCCGAAATAGCAGCAGATTTATTACGCGATCAAATTAACTACCCGCCAACTGTATCCCCTAAACTGAGTCATAGAACTGCTATTGACGAATTGGAAAAGTGTGAATGTATGAGTAATAACACTTCTTTCATTGACGATGACTTCGATTCCAAATTGACTGCTTTAACGTTGAGTCCTTTCGCCACGCCTTTGGCTAAACGGCACACGGTAGCTATCATTCCTGACACTAGAGATACGTCTCTAGATATCTTATCTGCAATACTAGACGCAGACCCAGACGATGTCTGTATCCTTCACTGTCCACCCTCTTGCCCTCTCACCCCTAGTAAAGTCACGGTACCTGTTGATAGTTCTATGCATCGTGCTAGAATTCTCTCCATTTCCGAGTCCGACTATGGCACCGAAATCTGGTAAATTTTTCGGAACTCTTAAAATTAATTTGTTATCTTTCTTCGAAATAGGTCTCTAATGTATTCCTTGTTACCGACTGATATTAAGATCACAATATTACGCTTAATTACTGACTCGAAATGTTTAGGGAATTAATTAGTTCTTTATTTTTATTAATGTCTTTTTTAAGGTAGTATTAGAAATTTGTTTTAATTACTAAGAGGAACTAATCCGTCCAATGTACAATCAGTACTAAATATTAAATCGGTCTTCCCTGAATACTTATGAAATTGTGAATTCTGTGATAGTTTTTATTGTAATGTAGGTGAATGTGAATTTTAATGGTATATTTTATGAATTTTAAATTCTGTATCTACATTGATGTATCAGTATTTTATTTTTACATTAATATAATGTTTTATTAAGTGTTAAATAATGCATGGTGGCTTCTTTCACCGCAGTGTGCACAGCTTACGAGTGTTTCATTTTCTTCGTATGTAAGTGCATGGTGTGTTATTCTGTGTTCTTGTGTTTTATGTAAATAATATTATTATAGATTTATTGTGAATTAACGCACTTATTTCATTTTATGTCACACCTTCAGCTATCACCCTCACTCTACTCATTAGGTATAGCACTGGGCTATGAAACCTCAACAAGTTCTGTTTATATGACCGCAGCGATTGCAATTTGAGTTTCTTTTGGTTACATTTAATAATAATAATACTTTGCAAAACAAGGTATTATAAAGAGAACTTGCTCTATGAAATAAACATTAAAAAAATAAATGTTGTAAATAATCCACTGAATCTTTTTTCACATTACACCTATGGGTAACTACTTGAACAATACTAAATCTGAGGTTCAGAATAACATGACTAATTTGTGGGTTACATGTGACCACGAAGAGTAAGGTATTGTTAAAATGTTTAACAATGTTCGGAGATTAAAACATAGGTGTTCAGTTACCTTGCACTCATCTTACATCGCTTTGCACAGTGAAGGAGATTGCTTCCAATGTTTCGTCTTTAACGACACCTTAAAAGGTAATGTTTTGTGTTGCTTATTTGGCATGATGCATGGGAACTCAATTACTAACACAACTAAAACAATAAAACAAAGCACTTAGAGGCCCACACTAAACCTTTCTAATAAAAATAATACACTAAAACGAATTAATACAAATAATAGATGTTATATTATTATACTTAAATAAATGATATTAATATAATTAGGTTTAAGAATAAAATACCATGCACTTTGTAAACAGGTTTTCATATAATTTCACTATGGAATTATATGATTACATATCTAATTTATATGTGAATGTCATAATGTATTATTGTGCAACTTTCGGGCTACGTATTTATGTATCAACCTATTTGTTCAATGTATATAATTTTTGTGTTTTTAGCCTTAGTTTTGCTTTTGGTAATGGAACTTTATTTGATCGTTATACATATACAAACATATTATATTAATGTTATTGGATCGTAATTTAAACAAGTTATGTGTAGTTAAAATATGTATGATAATATATTTTATACTATACTTACTACTTAAAATCTTATCTGTAAATGAGCATGTATAATGTACAGTGTGAATATTTTTGTTATATTTGAGGTGTAGGTAGAGGGAGGTAGGCATGTTTACTTATACAGGACGAATAATTTGAACCAAGTGTACTAACAGACACTTTACCTCCGTTTACTCATAATGTTACTATACAAACATTTTACAAAATCTGTTCAATCTTTTAGGTTCCTGCTGAAATGAAGGCTAAGAAAGATAAAAATGGATACCTACATATATTTAAGTATTGTTCAGTAGGCACAAGAACAGCCAAAAAACTGTTTCGAATGCTTTGATTTGTTGTCAGTAAAAAATCCTTTCTAACCTTGGTTTCACACTAATCGTCCGGTATAGAATTATGTTTATAGAATCGAAACTATACATAAAATATATTTATTCTCTGCTATATAAGTAAATGGAATTAAGAATATCTATTATATGCCAAATCGTAGGAAAGTACGCAGGTAGACGGAAAAACAGTACCTAAGTATATCAATTACTCACGTTCAGTTTCTATAACCTATCTATCTGTAGATTTGCTTACTAGAGATAGAATTTTGACACATTTTGTATGGAGCTTATGTCAAAATTATATCTCTAGTAAGCAAATCTACAGATAGATAGGTTATAGAAACTGGACGTAAAAGGATTACTGACCTACTTGAACAATTACTTGAAACTTTTGTTTTAATAAAATGTGTTATATTTTCAGACTATCGACATTCCAGTGCTGACAAGCCCTACTTGAACATACCGCCAAGTGTAATCCAAGACAAGGGACCAACAGTAGACTTGAATGCGATTAATCCCACCTTACATCGATACCATACTGCTCATCTCCGCGGCAGGCACGGTGTCGTCGACTATGATAATTCAAATGCAGCTCAAAGAGACCAACCGAAATTCTGGACGCTTCCTAAACGAAGCAACTTAGAATCCAATGCGCCTCAAAGATCTGCGTCTAGTTACGGAATGAAAACTGCAGCAGCCAACATACCAGCACCAGAAAAAAGAGCACAGGGTTCCACTAACACAAATGATGAATCTATCAAAATATCTCCAATAGATCCAAGAACTTCAGGACACTTCAAGTCATCGACTCCATCTAATAAAGAAAATGTTGTTGATCTTGGTACAAAGTTACTATCCCCTGTCAAGTCTACAATGACTAACGAAGAACTTTATGCTGTTATACATAAAAGTAAAAAGAAGCTGAACATTAAAGATACTACCGAAAGATCAGAATCGCCTGCATTGTCCACTATTAGTTTATCACCAGTTAATTCGGAGACGTCACTTTATACAAAGGGTTCACAGCGTCATCCAGAAACAGGTTACTTAGGAGACCCAAGAAATAGAATGAGCTGGTCTCCCTCTGAAAAACAGAATATCTTTCCGACTGCAAGTCCTATCTATGGAACACAAAAGCAAGAAACCAATTGCGCAGATAGATATGGACCTATGTCGCAAACCTCCAGGCTTGATTTCAAAAAGCTTTTATTGCAACACAGTGTTAAACTAAATACGTTGCCGCAGAACAAAACCAATAAGTTATCAGCAGTTGAGCAATTAAAATTATCGAGAGAAAAACCACAAACATTACCTTCTCAAGTTACTAATAGATCGCAAGTAAATATTCTGGATTTAAGTGGATCTCCTAAAACGTATACTCATAGAAAAGTTATGAAACCAAACGTTCAGCCTAGTTCACCAGGAAGAACAGGATCTTTAATCAAAGAACATAAAAATACGCCTAAAATTCTACTATCTCCTAAATCACAATGGCGATTTGCCAGTCCAAGATCAGATGTTTTGTCAACCCCTATACCCGAAGCTTACAATGAAGATGACAATTCAAATAGCTCGGGAGAAAAGCATGAAGTTTTAGTGGAAACCCCGCCTTCAAAAACAGTTCCTATTGTCACCAATCAACATTTTGGAGCGCGACGAAACTTAATTCCTATAAATGAAACCACTCTAGAAATGGAAAGAAATTTCCCACCATCAACAGATCAAGGTGTGTATCCTCTGAACACTGACTTCATAAGGTCACAAGGTCTGTCAAGAACAGAAATACTGCAAGCAAAGAGAGCAGAGTTTTTCAATACGTGCCCTGAGTCATCTCCACCTAAATTAACCTCCTTCAAGAGTCCAAATGCGGCTGGTCCGTCTGTAAACTCTAGAAGCAAAACTTCTCCGGAGCGAGGCAAGGTATCGCCTACTACTCTGGAAACTGCATTATGATAAAGCTGATATTGATGTGTCAAAGCGGTGCTTTAGAAATTCCAATCTCAAAGTTTGTAAATAAGGCAATGAAATTCATAGAAGCTTTAATCTAGTCTTTTCTTTCGCTTACAGTGCCATTTTTGCAGGCACTTATTTTCCATAACCAGTATTTGAATACTTCATAATTCGAGCTCAAATTATTTTTATTTTAACGCTCTATGGGGCCAATTATGTTCAGTGTAATATTTTCTACTCTACAACAGCTGTTTTATAAAACTTAGGATGTAAGTATTTATTGAGTACATTTTGATAGGTACTATGTTAGCAATGTTTTGAACTTTTTCAAAGTTTTTAAGTTATTCGGAATACAATTTTAAATAAAACGTGTTGAACTATACTGTCGTGTATTTTTGTCCCCTTTACCTATTGCAGGAAACCGTGATTAGTGCCAGCAGCAATAAATTAAATGGTTATAAGTATCTAATCATCTATATTTCAAAGGTGGGTGTAAAAATCGAAAAAAGAATAAATAAATAGTTCATAACCGTTTTTTCGTTGCCATGGTATCATTCTGGTAGCAGCATTCTAGCACTTCCCTTCCGCAAAGTGAATAATTATTTCTCTCAGCATGAAAAGGAGACACATTGATATTGTCCTATAAAAGAAATGGCAAAATTGTATTATGAATCCATAAGTGAAATAAAAAGTTCATGTATCACAACAGCATATTACCATTGTACTCTCTTTGCTGTTGTTAGAAGTTCCAATATAATCAGTGCTATTGTGAGCACCCAATTATTTAGCTTGACTACTGAGAGAAAAGGAATCCGTAATTAGCATTGGGCAACATTAACAGTTAGTTAATGTATTAGGTAATAAGTAAAACGAATGGATAGTGACTTAATTATATCTTTATTTTACAATAAAAATTACAAAAATGCCACAAGGTTACCTAAACATCAGTTTAGTTCATATCCTAAAATGATACAAATAGATCATTTCTACTCACAATTTCTTTTCAACACAATACAGTTTGAGATTACTTGTTACTATTGGATCAAAAAATAATGTGGTCAATTTAACAATAGGTTGAAATTATACATGGAATATAATTATTACTTTAAACAGTTCACTTATAATACTCCAAAAGGACTCGAATGTTGATATATGAGGCACAATAGAAAATACATTGTGTCTAACGTAGGTTTATGTTCTGGCATAATGTACCACGAGTTGATACTTTAGTATTTTGTCTCATCTAGGAGATGAACACAGTGTTTAACGATAGCTAAACTTCTGGGGCAGTCTAATACATAAAATAATAATTGCCAATGTGCAACTAATTTCATAAATTTCCATTCTATTATCAAAGGCAATCAAAAAAATAAAAAGTTGTAACTGCCATAGCTTGTGTATGGCAATATACACGACAAGGGAACCAATAAATTACCATTTACAGAAATGGTATTTTCTTGAAAATAAAGAAAATACCATTTTTAGATAAACCGTTTTTAGAAATGGTATTTTTTGGTCATATTGCAAACTATTTGACAACAACAAAAGTTACTTAGAAAGCAGCTTTTTCAGTTGAGATACCAAATACAGACAATTAAGTACAATAATTCGTGTACATAATATAAGCGGATATAAATAAACTTTTATAACCTCAAACTTATTGGTAACACTGGCACTGGTGTAACACTGTGGCCTCTAATGGATTATTAGTCTTTCTCAAATACTATTAACTGACACTATTTGTTCATAGGTGGTCCATTCATTAGAGGTGGTCGCATTTGACCCATAGGTCCCATGGGACCCATCGGCCCCATTATCGGCCCCATCATTGGTGGTCTCATGCCCATCATAGGTGGCATAGGCCCGTGTGGTCCCATCATCATCGGCGGCGCCATCGGGGCTCCAGGTCCCATCGATGGAGGAGGCAGCATCCCTGGTGGACCTCCCGGTGCTGGCACTGGCGGTCTAGGGCCACCTGGACCCATTACACTGGGATCCCAAGGGGGTGGAATAGCAGCTCCTTTATTAAATGGATTCTGTGCTATCTTACCAGCTTTGAATGCCGCTGTTGTAGCATCAATGAGATGTTGAGCTTGTTCTTCCATCCATTTTTGGTAGTAAAATTTAACATTATCCTTATGTTTCCTTCCCGTGCAATGTGTTTTTCTGACACTCGGTGAATCGTGAGTTAAATATGTGTCACAATAATCACAATAATATTTAGGCATCTTTATAAATTGTAATTGCTAATAAGCTACTCTACACGCGCACTAATTACTGATGATCACACTATCACAGCAAAACTGTAAATGCAAAGCAAAATACGAGTCTGACAAGTGACAACGAATAATAACACGCCATGAATGAAATGAATGATGAATGAATGAGTAAAATTGGTGATTTGGTGATACCAGTTTTCAAATTCGGTCTTGCATTTTATGAACCAAAGACAAGGAAATATATAGTTTAGTCGATTATTTTACATGTATGATAGTTTTTGTATAAGATATCCAAACGTATATTAGTATCTATCTATCTACATCTCTAGTTAGGTAGTTATTGGAAAAATTGCAAATGGCGCGCTGCGTTTGTGATCGGAGCACGTGTGATTGACGTTTCAAAAAAATTGGTCTAACGTGTTTAATTAAATGCATTAAATAATACTGAATGTGCAGAAAGTAAATTGTCAGAATAAATATACTTAAAAACGACACGATGCCGGATATGAAATATATTTTGGTTACCGGTGGAGTAATAAGTGGTGTTGGAAAAGGTGTGATTGCAAGTTCTTTTGGCACAATTTTGAAAAGCTGTGGTATCGATGTGACTTCAATAAAAATTGATCCGTACATTAATATCGATGCAGGGACGTTCTCTCCATACGAGCACGGTGAGTGGAACAGCTGATAAAGCGTATTAACCTTAATTTATTGTTTTTTGTCCGCGTGTTGCATTAATTGCATGATCTATTTTTATTCTCTAGGTGAAGTTTACGTGCTCGATGACGGTGGTGAAGTTGACCTTGATCTTGGCAACTATGAGCGCTTCTTAGATATAACACTACATAGAGACAATAATATAACAACTGGCAAAATATACCAGCAGGTTATTGAGCGTGAAAGACGAGGAGACTATCTTGGGAAAACTGTTCAAGGTAATTATAGTACATCTATATCTCAATTCAAGCAAAAAAAAATCCATAATTTTATGACACTGTCTAGATGTTATTTCCTAAAATTATACACTGTTTTACATGTAAAAATTCATGAAATGTGATAATTTCTAAAACACAGGTTTTAGAAATACATACAATAATTCATAATGAACACTATATTATGTTTTTTTATTAGGTATACAAATCGTAATCATCACTATGCAGCCCATAATAATAACATTTTTAAGCACCACCTTTATGTATAATTTTTTTTTAGTAATTCCACACATTACCGATGCGATTCAAGAATGGGTGCAAAGAGTAGCCCATATACCAGTGACACCAGACAATGCTCCACCGAGGGTCTGTATAGTGGAACTTGGTGGGACTATAGGAGATATTGAAGGAATGTCATTTGTTGAAGCATTCAGACAATTTCAGTTCAGAGTGAAGAGAGAGAACTTCTGTTGTGCCCATGTATCTTTGATTCCCATGGTAAGGACTTGTATATTTTTATTATGCTTATTTATTACTTTAGTTACCTAAGTTCTAGAAAGAAAAAAGGTAGAATTAGTTACATTTATTTCACATACCAAACAGCACAGCATAAAGCAATATGCATGAGTATTGTTACATATTTGCAGTAGGTATACAGAGTTGTGGTATTGGTGCCTATCTCAAGACTGTTGAAATGGGCACAATTTGAATAATATTATCTAGTGCTCTATTACTCTTTTTATTTTAATTCTAGAAACCTCTAATGGGTATTATTGTTATATGCATTTGTTATAGCTGTTGTTTCCTCTTAACTATTAAATAAATAAGTTAGTGCAAAATTGAATTATCCAACCGAAAACAATATTTTCAAGTAGAAAATATTTTCTAGTTATAAAACATTTTAACAGAAAAATGTTTATTGTAATAATGTTTTGAAATAACTGAAACAAATTAATATATTTTCTAACATTTTTAGCCAAAATCAACCGGAGAACCTAAGACAAAACCAACACAATCTTCAGTCAGAGAATTACGTGGTTTGGGCTTGTCACCAGACTTGATACTATGCAGATCAGAGAAACCTATCAACCAAGGAGTTAAAGAGAAAATATCCAATTTCTGTCATGTAGGACCAGAACAGGTAAGGTTCGAAAAGTATATTGTATTACTTATATCTTATATCTTATTTAAAATTGTTTTAAAAGTATTTTTCAATGAATTTCTTATCCGTCTTTTACTTGTTTAAACATTTTCTTTCGCTGAAAACTAAGTGTGAAATAAAATTATCAGAGCATTCTTTAACAGCAAATGGAAAAGTATTTTAGAAAAACAGTCTCAAGTGTATGATTAAATTAATTTATGTACATTGTACGGCTATACCGTGAATTACGCGTTAGGTATGAGCGATAACTGCGTACATCTAATTCGCGTAATTTGTGGTAAGTAGAACTTATATGTATTTTAGTTTTGTGCCAATAACTTAAAAAATATACAGACTTATAGGTAAAATGTTAGGTAATTATAGGATGGTAATATTTTCTTCATTCTTTTATATAAGAAAAGTATTGTATTTCAGAACTGGGGCCTCTGTATCTAGTTCTTAGACTTCATAGAATTGTAATCGCAGTTTGTGATAAAAATAAAAACATTTGCGACTTAGTTGCTACGGTGAGACTAAGAACAGGTCAATGCTTTATGGCCCCGTTCCGACACACGGAAGTGGGTGTAAGGTGACGACGCACCGATAACGATAACTACTTAGCGACTGAAAACGCAAAATCTATGTCGATAATAATTTAGTAGACTTGATAAGGTGATGTATTAAAAATATGAGTCTGCCCTGTCTTCATACAGAAACTAGATAAGGGCTATCCTCCTTAACAGCGCATCGGCGCGAATACAAACCGCAATAAATTCATAATATTTATTTTATTCAATCAACCTTTTCATTAAATCAGCTTCATTGTTACTAAATGGTTTTAAATGTAATAAGATATTGTAAAAACACTTAACTTGGTTTATAAACAAAGCGACATGGATTGGTAACGGGTCTCTTCGAATTTGTTCTTTCCTTATATTATTCATTGCAGTGACGTTAAAATTTTGAAGAAATGTATTTAACAAGTACAGCACCCTACATCATATTTAAAAAAAGATATGATATAGATTTCCTTGGAAAACAACTTTTTTCAGATAGGAATCAATATTTTTATCAATGATAACTTAGTATCATGACATGAAATGACACACCCTTTAGCCGAAAATGTCTCCAGGTTGATCGGCCAACTGCGTAAGAGATTATGATAATATAGTGCACATGCACATTTAACAGAATACATTTGCACACTAAATGCGTACATTGTTAACCGGCCTTCATATAAAACTTACTTAATTTACGCTACACACCAGTCGCAGTCGAACTGTGCAGTTAAATCGTATGGTGTGTAGGTTGTATGGACCTACGATTGAATTGTACAGTTCAACTGTTAATTTAAAACTGCTAGGCTATGTAACTGTGCCGATTCGGAGTCGCGGAGAACTTAACGGGTAACCGGGGCTCTGGCTCGACGTGCAGGAGAAGGAACGGGGTGGTCTTTAGTCAGTAAGAGTCTGACACTCCCTCCCGCCTCACCCAGGCGGGAGCAGTTATTCGATGATTTTCCCCACTTAAAAAAAAGGCTATGTATCTGTCAATTCGACCTTTTGAAGTGAGCTCGACCAAATTCTCGCCCGTCATTGGTCGAGATTATTCTCACAACCGTATACCGAAATATGGCGGAAAATTAAGTGTGTAGCCTGCATAACACATTTCCAATGCAAATAATAGGATACCGCTACTGCGAAGTATTAATACATATATCTAAATATTTTTTAACATACACCTGTCTATTTTATTTTGTTTACACACAGTAGTGCAGTGCGTAGTTGAATCTACGCTTATAAAACGGTAAACAATAATATTGTGGGTTTCATAACAGTGTTACAGATAATCTGCTAAAGCAATAGAGTATCACTTACTAGTTACATGCAACTAACGAGATCAGAGATACTATTTACCTTTACTGCTGTTCGAACTAAGCTAATTGCCGTACAAGTTATAATTTAATTTCAATATGTATACAGAAATAATAATAATTCACTGTAAGATTCTTGAAATTCTAATGATTGGCGATGATATGAGTCAGTACATTTACCAGTATTGCAGACTGCATATCATTATAATGACCGACCTAGCAACAGTGAAAGCCCCGCTTAAATGAAACTAGTTTTCGAATGAGATCATAAAAAACGGAAAGTTTCAAGTCGGTATAGAACTATATCTTAGCATTCCTATTAATAAATATTCTAGTGTATTAGATACTGTAATCAACGTTTTAGCTCTATGTATATCCCCGATTGCAGTCAACTCATGGACATTTAACTTTACAATCTGCAATTTTTGAGGACATCTGTCCGAACGTTGACTTTGCGCATTGTTGTCCTAAGACATTTTTTTTCTATGTTACGATACTTTGAGAAACGTTGGGTAATGTGTAAAATTCATATTTGAAGAAAGACTTGTAAAATAAATGAAATAAATAAAAGTAAGGCCCCAAAAATGTGTATGTATAGAAATGACTTAATTAAACGTAATGGCACTGCATGACCAGAAAGCGTCGTTTTGATTCAGAACCACGCTAGCTAAATCAGAACTTCTGACTCAGCTGGGTCAAATCACGACCACCTTAATGTTGACAAATTATTGTATTTACCTAAGATAGTCTTAAATGATATTTCTAAATTGTTTACAGGTAATATGCATTCACGACTTGAGTTCCGTGTACCACGTACCCCTCCTAATGGAAGCCCAAGGAGTAGTGCAATATTTAAACGAAAGGCTTCAACTGAATATTTCCATGCCACGACCAGGAAAGTAAGTATAAAAAATGTAATTTTATAACGCTGTATTGAAATCATTTTACGCATACGTTCACTTAATACTTGTTTAACTACTAACGAATATTTACGTACCATGAATTAGGTATTTATAAAAAGTTTCTTAAACTGTCAAACACCAAGCGGTCACCGGTGACCGCGACCTATTGTTCTTTAATTGTGTCTATAAAACCGGTACTCGACGAGTTAATTTATGAATGAAAATTGATTCTACGTAATATTAAAAAAATAAAAACGTCTGTAAAGTGATGTGTGTCTACATAATTATGATAATTGGTTAATTAGTCTGAATATTTCAATTATACTAATGGCAGCCTGGTCATTCACAATTTAGCTAATTACTTTGGTATATGAGCTCTTTAGTATGGGTACATTAGCTCTAATCAATAAAGGAATGAATACGATGGTGACATGGTAAAACCGGATTTTATTAATTTAAATAAGGGGTCAATTAACATAACTATCGCCATTTTGTTTTTTGCGAACAAACTCGTTATATTCGTAGATAAAACTGGTCTAAAGTACATACTTGATATTCGTTTTTCAGCCAAAATTGTGTTGCTTGATATATTGCGGTTTCACTATTGCTATAATATTGATGTCATAAGATCAAATTGACCAAACTCAAAACCATTCAACTAACTATAATTATTATTATTTCAGGTTTATGCGGAAATGGCACAATCTAGCTAAACGGGTCGACAATCTTCGCAAAGAAGTGAACATAGCTCTAGTAGGTAAATACACAAAGTTGGAAGACAGTTATGCAAGTGTCACAAAAGCTCTGCAGCATGCCTGCATAGCATCGGGAAGCAAACTGAACCTGACATACATTGAGGCTGTGAACCTAGAACGACAGACTAAGATAGACGACCCTGTTAGTTACCACAAAGCATGGCAGAATTTATGCAAGAGCGAGTAAGTATTGGCTAAATTGCATATAAAAGTTGATTTTCTTAACATGAAAGTTCACAGTTTAAAGTATATAAAGCCACTTTTAGGCTTTTAGTCAGTTATTAATTATAAGATATAATTATAATAATTAAGACCAATTTTTATATTTAGTCAGTCAGCAATAATAAGAAAAAAAATAAGAGTGATTGTAAATCATTTCCTTAACTAATTTCAGTGGTGTCATAGTTCCCGGTGGATTTGGCCAAAGAGGAATGGAAGGCAAAATCGAAGCTTGTCAATGGTGCCGTGAAACACAAAAACCGATGCTTGGCATCTGTCTTGGTCTACAAGCCTCTGTGATAGAATTTGCTAGAAATGTATTAGGACTTAAAGGTGCTAACACGACTGAGGTAGATCCCAAATGTGAGGACAAATTAGTAATAGACATGCCTGAACACCATCCTGGAAATCTAGGTGGAACTATGAGGCTAGGAAAAAGGAAGACTTATTTGGAACCCAGTGTTATAAGTAAGCATCTCACAATTATTTTTTTTATATGTATATTTGTACATACTGTTTTGCTTTTCAATTTATCTTTACGAAATTGCATGTCGCTATCGATGCAAGACATCCGCTGATGGACATACTAGTCTAATTGTACTATTAAATTTTACAGCCCAACTATACAAGAGAGATGTAATAGAAGAACGTCACAGACATCGGTATGAAGTAAACCCAGAATACATAGAACGTCTAGAAGCAGCTGGTCTCCGTTTTGTAGGCAAAGATGAGACAAAAACTCGAATGGAGGTCGCGGTAGTAGATAATCACCCTTACTATGTCACAGTGCAGTTTCACCCGGAGTATTTATCACGGCCATTGTCACCTAGCCCACCGTTCTTAGGGTAAGTTGGTCTCAAATGTAATTCGTAATTATTTAAATATTTGTGTAAAAGTATTGAAGGAATATTTCATGTTTATATTTTATTGCAGACTAATTTTGGCATCCCTTGGAAAACTAAAGAACTACTTATCAAAGGGATGTCGGTTAAGCCCACGAAACCAGTCTGATGTGAGCTCAGGTAAGCTAGCAAATTTATGATTAATCCAGATAATCTTAACTTGTGAGCTGTGGTTCATTTATGTAACAAACCAGTAGACATTAGTAATGTTGATATTAAAAAGTGTCTGCACTAGCAGTAATAAAAATTGTTAATGCTGATGCTTTTCTTAATTCTAATCTGGAGCTTGATTTTTTTACAGATGAAGACGATATATCCGTGTCTTCTTTAAGTATAGCTGATGAAAAAACCGTAATTGAAAATGGAATCGCCGTCAATGGTGTGAGCAAATAAAAATACTGTTTAATTATCTATTCTATTATAATTCAATATTAATATGATTAAGTCATACTGTAAACATATAATCAAATTGTATGCTTGTTGCCATTGTAAATTGAAATGACAAGAATGAATATTTTCGTAAAAGGAAGGTATTATAGATGTAAACCAGTGAAGTATCATCGTTTTTTACTTAATTACATATTTTCTTTTACAAAATCTAGCATCTACATTATTATACCTTTCCACTAGTCTATAAATGGTTGAAGCATAATACAAATTATATATTCTAAATATATAATTTTAATATTTAAGATAAAAATGACGGTTGATTCAATGAATAGTTTAAAAAAGAACTTAAAATTGACTTCCAAACATACAAGTTATTACAGAATTTTGATTAATCTTAAACCATTTTTATAGTACACAGCTATATTTAAAATTTTCTGTAATTTAACCGTAAGTGTTGGTAACATAAGGATTAATTGATTTAAATAATAGCTAAGCATAATTTTTGTAGATTTTTTATGTTTTATTTGAAAAGAGTTAACTTGTATGTTGATGTATTATCTCGAATAATTTGAAGATATTATTTTACAATACAATAAATACCATTGGTGTTGTTACCTATCTAACATTAGGGTAGTTATTGGCCCATATTTTTATTTTCTTGCATTGTATTCTCTACACAAGTGTTACTAAAAATGTTTATTTGTATTTTATGTATTATCTTTATATTATTAATGTCTTTCTGAGCAACCTACTAGTACTAATAATGTAGACTGTACCGTTAGCAGTTAATTGTACCGATGCCATATTATGTATGTTCCAGAGCTATGTTAAAAATTACCCTAATCAACTATGCTTCCTTCATAATAGTTTGCTAGAACAAAGGACCTGCAGCCAAGTCCATAAATTCTTCTTTCATAGAGGCTGATCACAAAAATGTATTTGATTATAGAATAAGTGGACATTAAAATAAATATTGTATCGGTAGATGTCTATGGTACGATCATTATTCTTCTATAAAAATTATATACATATATATATTAATATTGTAGTAATTTTAAATACGTACCATAATTTGATAGGTATAATTAAATTTCGACAGAGGCATATAATTTACGAATAGTATCTTTTTGCCCCAAACATATTGTATTGTGATGTTAAAATAACTGGTGATGATATGGCTGTTGTATAGCAAGTGAAATATATCTTTTATATGGGCAATTCTTTAGGATTAAAATCTATTTAATGATGTATAATCGTAACTTGTAATAAAAAATTGTCACTAAAATCTAATAGTGTTTGATCAAATAGTTTCAGCCTTTAGCTCAAAAGTAATCAGACTATAGTAACATAAATATTTAATAAGTGAAGCATTCCATATTACATTTCTTGCAGTTGTTAACTTTGCTCTAGTACTATTGTTACAATAAAGGCCAATAAAATTTTCCCGTTTAAGTAGTTATTTTATTTTCCCAAAGATACCCCAGGACATTGAAAAAAAGGCAGCCGCAATGTCACTGAAAAATGATTGAGGACAACGTCAGTGTTATTTATGTGTGCGTGTGTAATGGGCACCACGTTACTAGACAAAAAATTGCCCAAACTGAAATAATATTTTTGAGGTTCTATTGACTTACATTTTTTATGTCCTTTTTACCACGATTATAGGTATAGGAATGGAGGTACTGTCAAACACCGCGAGGACACTGGTGACCGCAACCTATTGTTCTTTTAACCTATTGTGTCTATATTGACGGTACTCAAAGGGTTAATTCAGTGCAGGCCATGATGCGGAGCGAGGGGCACTGGGATGCTGTCTCCTCCTTTTGCGAAGCAGTCATGCTAGCTAAGGAGGAGGCGGGACGCGTGAGGCAGCGAAGCGCTGCTTCCTCGCAACCCAGCCATCGCGAAGGACACACCAAGCGTCGGGGATCGCGGTACGATCTCCGGCCACCGTAAGCGCGGGCCTGTAGACGGCGAGCATGGGTGGCTCCCCGTCCGACCAGAAACAGACCCGAGTGTACGGCGCGTCGCGTTCCGCGCGCGCCTCAAAGAGCCATCAGACCACCACAGATGGGGCCCATTAGGGCCGATGCCGATTCGGAGTCGTGGAGAACCTAACGGGTAACCGGGGCTCCGGCTCGACGTGCAGGAGAAGGAACGGGGTGGTTTTTAGTCAGTAAGAGTCTGACACTCCCTCCCGCCTCACCCAGGCGGGAGCAGTCATTCGATGATTTTCCCCCCTTAAAAAAAAGGGTTAAAACAACTTATTTAGTCGTGGCACTAAATTCAAACAAGGAAAGTAGTTTTGAATTGTTATATGGTTTGCGTACATATCATATATAATAGCTATACAATTTATTTATTCGTGATCATTTTTAAAAAATCAGCAATGCGGCAACTGTCGCACTGCTTCTTTCTGGGTAACGCGACAGTGCTCAGTAAAACTAGTCGAGGTTCTCGTTAAATAATTACTACGTGAGTAAGCCGAAAAACAATATTTGAAAAAAGTTATGCATAAAATAGTATTAATTTACAAGTACAAGTACAACAAAATACTTTATTTGAACTGTCAAAAACGACAGTTTTTTTATGAATTTTGTATTGTACGAGATTGTGACGGTTCTTTTTTTAGCGTCAAACAGCATACTTATTTCTTAAAATGTTTGTTTGAAAATGACTAAAATTAAGTTGGTCAGTAAATCAATGAATGGAAGTGTGATGATTTTTTAATATTTTATTGTATTGAACAGTCAAAATAATTTATTTTTGATTAGGGAATTGAAACTGGAACCCATCTCAGTTGATGACCATTTTACCTCATTGTTTTTGAGAGTACGGAACCCCATAGATAATAATGACTAACACTAAAGCAACTTTTGTTATATTTACGGAAATAAAACCTGTAATAAATAGACAATTTATGCAAATCATTTTAAAAATGCCGTAGAGCAAATAAATTAAATCTTGTTTTTTACACGCAACACTTAAAGTAGGGAGGTACTTAACCGAAAATTGATGAGGGTCAAAAATTATTCGTTTATTGTTCAAAACGTTTTAAAATTTAAATTCCTTGTGTTATAGGGGTATTTATTTATTGTAGGGGGTGACATTTTAATTATAATGTTACTAGCTTTTACCCGCGGCTTCGCTCGCGTCACAAAAGAATAAAAAGTAGACATGTGACATATACCTATACACACAGCGCCATCTATACCAATACTTTTGTTTTTCCTCGGGAATATCAATTTTTTCCCTATTATTTAATCCAGACTTCTAACTTTACGTCTGCAAAAATTCAAAACAATCGGTTGAGTAGTTACGGCGTGAAGGTGGAACAAACAAACAAACTCACTTTCAGATTTATAATATTAGTAAGGATTGTTACCTATGTTGTTTAAACAGTACGATCGGAATGTGTTCGTTTTGCCTTAAAGTTACGATTGTCATGTACGTTATTGTTTACATAATTATAAGAGGTGCAAAGCGTGCACAGCAGACGGGGGCGGCAAATCGAGCGACTATTATTACCTACTATTCAAAATAATTGTTTAGAGTAAGCAGAAAGCATAAGAAATAACATCACCGGGACAAAATCCCACTCGACGCAAGCAATATTAGCGTTATGACTATCTATCGTCATCAGTTAAAAATATAAAATAAGACTAGATGCAATACCAAACTTGGAATCACCCGAAAATTGTTTCTTAACAAAAATTCTATACAAGTTAGAACCAACTAAAGATTTAGTCGGTTTCTATAAATGGTAGTATAAATAAATGATAGTACTTATAAAATTCTTCTTACCGCCCAATGCCGGGTTAATGGCACCCCAAATCCGATACAAGAATTCCTCAAAGCTTACTTTTAGCCGCCCTATACCAGTTGAGGCGGGAGAAGTCATTCGATGATTTCCCCCCCTTAAAAAACAAAAAAAAAACCAGTTGAGGGCGCAGCGGGCCCCGAATTGTATACAAGTATACATAAACGGTTTCTGTCATAGATTAGAGTAGTAAAATAAGGAGAATTTACTACTTACCACCCACTCCTGGTTGATGGCGCTCCCAATCCGATACAAAAATCCGTCTGAGCTTACTTTTTGGTGCCTTATAGTCAGTGGCGCCCTAAATTTGTAGTCCATTGAGCGTCCTCGAAAACCATCGAGCGTCCTCGATCAGTTTCGAGAGTTACTCTCAAACTATCGAGAGCCCTCGATCACTTTCGAGAGTTACTCGAAATTTATCGAGCATCCTCATGCTCGATAAATTTCGAGGACGCTCGAGAAATCTATCGAGAGTCCTCGATCACTTTCGAGCGTCCTCGAAATCTATCGAGAGTCCTCGATCACTTTCGAGCGTCCTCGAAAACAATCGAGCGTCCTCGAAAACAACCGAGCGTCCTCGAAAACAACCGAGCGTCCCCGAAATCTATCGAGCGTCCTCGAAATCTATCGAGAGTCCTCGGTCACTTTCGAGCGTCCTCGAAAACAATCGAGCGTCCTCGAAAACAATCGAGCGTCCTCGAAAACAATCGAGCGTCCTCGAAATCTATCGAGCACCCTCGAAAATAATTGAGCGTCCTCGAAATCTATCGAGCGTCCTCGAAATCTATCGAGCGTCCTCGAAAACAATCGAGCGTCCTCGAAAACTATCGAGAGTCCTCGATCACTTTCGAGCGTCCTCGAAATCTATCGAGCGTCCTCGAAAACAATCGAGCGTCCTCGAAAACTATCGAGAGTCCTCGATCACTTTCGAGTGTCCTCGAAAACAATTGAGCGACCTCGAAATCTATCGAGAGACCTCGATCACTTTCGAGTGTCCTCGAAAACAATTGAGCGTCCTCGAAAACTATCAAGCATCCTCGAAATCTATCGAGCACCCTCGAAAATAATTGAGCGTCCTCGAAATCTATCGAGCGTCCTCGAAAACAATCGAGCGTCCTCGAAAACTATCGAGCGTCCTCGAAATCTATCGAGCGTCCTCGAAAACAATTGAGCGTCCTCGAAATCTATCGAGCGTCCTCGAAAACAATCGAGCGTCCTCAAAATCTATCGAGCGTCCTCGATCACTTTCGAGTGTCCTCGAAAACTATCGAGCGTCCTCGAAATCTATCGAGCGTCCTCGATCACTTTCGAGTGTCCTCGAAAACTATCGAAAGTCCTCGATCACTTTCGAGCGTCCTCGAAATCTATCGAGCGTCCTCGAAAACAATTAAGCGTCCTCGATCACTTTCGAGTATCCTCGAAAACTATCGAGCCTTCTCGGAAACAATCGAGTGTACTCGAAATGTATCGAGCCTCCTCGAAAACAATCGAGTGTCCTCGAAAACAATCGAGCGTCTTCGAAACCTATCGAGCATCCTCGAAAACTATCGATCCTCGATCAGTTTCGAGTGTCCTCGAAAACTATCTGTTTGACTGCACGGTTGGTGCGGTGGCTGGGTAACCGGCTGCCGTGCAACGTGTCGCGGGTTCGATTCCCGCACGGAACAACACTTTGTGTGATCCACAAATTGTTGTTTCGGGTCTGGGTGTTATTGTGTATGTGAACTTGTATGTTTGTAAACGCACCCACGACACAGGAGAAATAAATCCTAGTGTGGGGCAACGTTTAAAAAAAATAAGATAAGTTTTGAGAGTTATTCGATATCTATTGAGTATCCTCTATCATTTTCGAGAGATAGTAGGAGACACTTAGGGAGTAGTATCGCGTCCCGTCAAATAGGCTACAAGGCAGCACTTTTACACGTCAATTTTATCAAGCGAACAATGAGGCCGATATTTCCTAACTGACTACTCTGAGAAGAAATGCCGAAACAAACTCAGAAGTCTGTCAAAAGTCCAGATAAATGTGAATAAAAATGTGAGTGTTATGTGTGAGAACCGTACAAGCTCTTTCTGTAGTGGCCTTCTGAGGAAACAACCACAAGAGTTTGAGCGGACCCGCTCTGAAGGCAGTACGCATGTGTCGGTTTACAATCAGCTCAATTAGCAGGTGAGGCTGACTGATTCGACGAACAACACCAACCTTAAGAACATTTGCGTGGGTCGCACAAATACTCAAACTGTCAGAATATGGGTAATTAGAAAAGAAATGGCGAGGCAAAATCTCGCACGGTCCTAGCACTAACAATTGTAAAATAAAAAGTAAATGCAAAGAGTATAATAAGTATAAATGTCAAGGACAAGGAAAGGACTTGTCTTGGGAGGTCAGTGGTATTAAGGGGAGGGAGATGATTATATACCTGATATTCGTAACCATAACAAGTGCCTTAATAAAAATTATTATTATTAATGTGTTTTATTTGAGAAAACAATCTTTTATACATTTTCTATAGGTATTATAAGAATAGTCCGGCCGCGTTTAAATTATTTTGCACATGTGTGTTTTTGCCTTCACAAATAGCTAATGTTGGTCTGTTTCTCCTCATATGTCTGTGGTCACGCGACAGTACTTTGGGTCAGTCAAGTGTGTATTCTGCGTTTGAGTCTATAGTAGCCAGGCGCCACTGTCGTTTAGTCCTTGCTTTCGTAATAAAAATGACATTTCAGTTATGTTCTTCTTATACATAATAGTTTTTTTTTATGGCATAAGCCGGTAAACGAGCAGACGGATCACCTGATGGTAAGCAATCGGCGTCGCCCATGGACACCTGGAACACCAGAGGTGTTACAAGTGCGTCACCGGCTTCTTGAAGATTCAGGGATTGGGGAGATTGGGGAAGGGGAAGGTAATTGGGCCTCCGGTAACCTCACTAACACGCCGATTCGGCGTCGCGGAGAACCTAACGGGTAACCGGGGCTCCGGCTCGACGTACAGGAGAAGGAACGGGGTGGTTTTTAGTCAGTAAGAGTCTGACACTCCCTTCCGCCTCACCCAGGCGGGAGCAGTGATTCGATGATTTTCCCCCTTTAAAAAAAAACGTCACTCACACGACGAAACACAATGCAAGCGTTGCTTCACGTCGGTTTTCTGTGAGGCCGTGGTATCACTCCGGTTGAGCCTGCCCATTCGTGCCGAAGCATGGCTCTCCCACACATGTTTATTTTTTGTAAACATTTTTTTTGAGCGAAGGCCTCCTCATGTAGCAAATACATTTGATTCATGGGCCTCCTAACACTCCACTCTACGCACTGCACAAAGCTTTCTGCGGCCAATTTTATCCTATTAAATTAGTTTAGTAAGAATTTAAATTTAGTCGATTCTAATCGAATTTTTAGTTTCCGTATCCGAACGCATTATATTTGATTTTGACATTAGGTTAAAATGTTGCTAGTAGTTATTTTCCAAGATTTGTTGGTAATTTAATATTTTTGACATAACAAACTTACTACTTCCTTACTTTTCTTAAGATTTTTAGGAACTTCATTTTTAATAAGAGGTGCTTCATTCAACTCTAGTTATTTTTTCCACTCAGTTAAAGGTCTATAGTCTAATAAAATGCATCCTTAAAAATACTTAAGTTGGCAAAATCAAGGCAAAATACAGAAATAAAAAGACGGGAAGTATTGTTTCGGTCTGGCAGCACTGATGTTTTGCGCTGCGGTCTGTCTGGGTTGAACTTTAATGAATGAGACTTTTAATTTTTCAAATCAGTTTGTCGCGCGTAATGATATCGACTTTTATTTTTATTTAACAGTTTCTGTATATTGTCGTATACTAAAGTATATTCAGTAAAATTAAAAGAATAATGTGTTATATCGGACCATGACAGAAGTGACGAAAATTTTAATGTTCTGTTGTAAATAAGAAATCATAGTTCACCATGGTGTTCGAATCGATTGTGGTGGACGTGCTGAACAGATTCCTGGGGAGCTACGTGGAGAACCTGAACAGGTCTCAGCTGAAGCTAGGAATTTGGGGCGGTAAGTTTTTGCAACAGGGTGATGTCATAGTTGCCGAGCTACTTTGAATGCGGTTATTTATGTCTCCTATAAATGTTTTGCAGGCGACGTCGTGCTTGAAAATCTTATACTTAAACAGAATGCCTTGGAAGAACTCAATATTCCTGTGCAGACAGTTTATGGACACTTGGGTGAGTCAATCCAATAGGATTTTTATTGCACATAAAACTATTAAACCTATTTCAAACACATTGTGTGGTGTGGATTTTTATTTAAGTATATGTTTTAAAAATAAATTACTTTGTATCAAACCAAGTGGCGGCTGAAATATATTTTATTACTCTCATTTAGGTAGTTGATGCAATAAACAAAATAAAACTATCCTTGTAGAACTATACATTATTGCAATATTTATTTTGTGATTAAATCTAGGTCAGGAACTTGTGAACAATTGTTTATCAATACATATAGGTCACTTGTAGGAGTAATCTTGATGACTTTAAACTATATAAAATAATAAATGTATCTTTCAAAACCTAATAACCATAAAATAACATTCAAAGGATGATGTTTTCAAAAAGCGTAACAAAGCATTATGCTTAAAAATACCTTAGCTTGTAAATCATTCATGATTAAAATTTATTTGGTGCAAACCTTGCCTAAATTCCTCATTAAATTACTAAAATAAATAAACACATCAATATAGTTTAGTATGTCAATTTTTCCGTTACACCAGATGAGATATTGGTAGCATGGTGTGCCATGCTACCAATATCTCATCTTACTACAATAGCTTTACTGCCTTTATCTAATCTTCAGTTATGGTCTGCAGTTTATGTACAACTCGATTTTGCAATTAGGCACTTGAAAACATACTGTAAATTGCTGTGTTAATTATATTATTGTAAACATTATAATAATTAGGTATGTCATCTATGTATAGGGCCGTCTTAGACTATACTGGAGCCCTTGGGCACACAGTAATTAGGGCTTTTTTGGAATATTCCTTTTTTAAATATGCCCCATATTAGGTTTTTCTTCTACAGGATAGATGTTTGTAATGCCACCTGAAGGGGAAGTACTCTTAATACTTTAGATAGACAATTTTACTCAAAGGAAACATTCCTTCATTTTTGAAAGAAAGAAACCGGCATTCGAATATTTTAAAAAATTTGCTTGCCACACATGTTAATCGAACTGACTAAAATCTGTAAAAGTTGCACCCTGTACTTTTATTGCATTGCAGGACTACTTCCCCTTCAGGTGGCATTACAAATCCACCCTGTGAATCGTGGGTGCATTTACAAACAAACCCGTGTACCCCTATGGTAAAGATGGCACTGCCTAAGTGATGATTTTATTATTTAACCAGCTGGTTAACTTTTGATTTATTTTTTGATAATTTGCTTGATTTTGGTTGAACCAGCTGGTTAAATAATAAAATCATTCAAAATCAAATCAGATGAACAGAAAGACTGTTCAGTTCATCTGTGAATTATTCAATGATTTGGTAGATACCTAGTGGTTATTTTACCTAGTGGTTTGGTATATACCTTATGATATGACCATAACTCTTAAATAATAATTCAGAAAAACATAACATAACATCACACCTTTTATCCCCGAAGGTGTAGGCAGAGGTGCACACAGAAGTAGTATTTGCGACCACTCGGCGAACGAGGCAGTCATAAAATATAATTCAATAATTCAGAAAAACCACTTTATATATTACTTTTATGAATGTATTCATTGTTGACATGGTGTTATGTGAATCAATTTCAATTTGTATGCTTCACTGCCATTAAAACCTCACAGTAATACAACCATCAGATACACATATTACACTTGAAGATGAGTAAGCAATAAAAATCGTCGTTAAATTGATGCATATGAACTTGAATAACTTCATTGTCTTTATATTTCATACCGGTATATTTGTTACAGAGATATTATGTAGTTTAAATACCTTTTTCACTCTGAAAGTCGAGAAGTGTACTACCAAATTTCTGTGTTATACCCAAGGTACTTGTTATGTTGCCGTCTATATTAAGGGATTCATAATTGGGTACATTGGTTAGTAAAAAACACGACGTTACCACACACAACATTATACAAATTTCTTTGAAAACTGTCGTTTTTGACAGTTCTCAATAAGTATTGAATTTGACTAGTTGGAAAGTATCCAAACTATCTAATTAAATCAGTAAAAATATAGTGAAAAACTTTACTTCTTTAGCAATTAAAGGTGTGAGTTACCTACATCCCTTTAATTAAATATAAAAAACTCAATAGAATGAATCCTCTAACAAGTAAAGTAGTTAGTAATCTATTATTAGCAGGGTTATTGGCCAGCCTACCTAAATGAGCAAGGTTATCATGCCAGTCACCAATTAACATGCTACAAAGATAACTGGCATCCCTCTTTGTAATTGTTACATAGTCATAGCCTTCTGGCTGGGTGACATCATCCCATCCAATCAGTCCCATTCCGTTTTTGAAACATCTATGTCTCAAGGTCAATGGTATGACCTTCAAATACATAATATACAGAATATTATGTGTATTGTGTACCCAATTTCACAAAGAGGAAAATTGTTTCATTACATTTGTTGTGCTTACTGGATTAATAAATATTACATTACCTAAATAAAATTAATAGTGCTTCATTATTCATTAGTTGTGCTAGATAAAAATAATGATGCAATATTTGGATCTTTTTTGTCTACCTAAAACTGTATTATGTTATTTGTGTACCTATGAAAACAATATTTACCTGTGTATGTATTGGACGACAGTTAAGCCATTCCCACTCAGTATTTTGCGTATGATTTAATTAATGAGGTCATTATTGTTATAAAAAAGACTAATTTTTAATGATGATGATGATGATTCTCAGTGTTGGCGAATATCTCTAGCCGCAACCTTGAATTGGTAAGCAAAAAAGTTGTTCATAAGTAGTACCTATTACAATTACAATTGATGGAAAATACGGCTATCAAGTTTTTTCATCTTGTAATTGTGTCTTCTAGGAAAACATTTAGAATTCGGCGAAAAAGCGGCACCTTTTGATATCACAATATACTTTTGTCGATTCCGTAACATACAATTGGCAAAAACAAAGGCATGCGTAGTAGGTACGTAATATTGCGTAGTAAACAAAGCAAGTCCGATTTAACTTTGTGTGACACTTTACTGTTATCAGATCTATTGATTACGCAGTCATGTATCTAGTAGATAAATAAGTCTGTAATACTCAAACTTAATAGGTATAGTCAGTTTCGTCCAGAGTCGAGGATTATACTCTTAAATCTAGTTTGCGAAAAAATGCTTGCAATTCACCTTGCTGTTTAAGTATTTAGTGCGGCTCAAAAGCTGTAAAATCTTACGAAATAAACATTTAGTCCCATTTTTATCGACTGACTACTTACAGGGTCTCGATTTTACAAGCAGTTGATCCGATTTAATAATCTCCGGAAGTTTATACTATATCTTATCTTAAAAAATCTTATCTTTACAATAATTTATAATGGGTAAGCCCCTATACTATAAAATCTTTCTTGCAACACCAAACTTTGTCACATTATATCAGTCTATTTACTGAACTAAATAAAACACTAGATAATGTTTTCTTTAGTTCTTATCTTTATTGTTTTTATACCAACCTAAGCAACAATTTATTTTCTATGGATATTACGTTTTCAGCACATATTAAATAAAACATTCGGAAGTACTATAAAACTGGACATCTAAAGAATGTTTGAGTCGTAAAATAGCTTCAAAAACAGTGCAGGCAATTATCGCATTTAGTACCATCTACCTAAAGGCGCTAATTACTAAAGCTCCAATCAGGCGAGGTACCATACAACCAACTATTAGCGATCGGCGATTTTATGGCCGACTGAATTCAATATGTCGTCTTTTCTCGATGCTAACTGATCGATATTTTAATGCCGGTGCCTCAAAGTGGTCGGTATTAACGGTGGCTTTGTTTCGAAAAACAACAAATTGTTTGCATTGGTGTCTAAATTAGCTCATATGTGGTATGTAAATAATATAAACAGATTTTACACTTACTGGTAAATAATACCTAACGCAGGAAAAATGTATACATTAAACCTAGCACTTATCGTGTTTCCCCAAATAACCTACTAACAATATTGTAAGTAGTAAGTAGGTATTATGAAAGCAATAAGCATAGGTAGGTTGAAATATTTATAAGGGAAACGGTTTAAAATATGCATTTAGCCGTTAGTCGACACAATAATGTGATAAAACTTATTTGGATTTTCGATAACAATATGACTAATTATATTTTTGTATCATGCTTCATGCATGACCTAAAGACTAAAAAAGTTGGGCAATGTGCTGTAAATAAGGCTGTAACAGGGCACTCCTTAGTAGGTATCTGACTGAAACAAAAGCAGGTCACAAGGTTAGAGGTTTATGTCAGAAGTTTGACCTGTTATAAGCGTTTTTCATGTTTTTGTTTTATTGTAATTTATTAAGGTACTAACCTAAGCAATCTACTTACTTATTTGATCTTAGTGGAACAGAAATGAAAATAGTGTCTCTATTTATGCATAACATAATCGGTACCATTACCGAAGCGTTGGGCACTATTACGATACTATACAGTCATGGTCTAGGTTACGCTACAGGGGCTCAGAATAAAATAACTGAAGATCGATCAACAAATTGCCAAATACAGAAAATTATACGCCAGATTTTTTGCAATCAAATCACTAGGTTTTCTGTTATTAAAACTCGCTTATGTACTTACTTATCAAAATAAACTATAAGCAATATTTGTATACATTAATTGATAACATTACGATCAATTGTTTTGACGCGCAAGATAACGAGTTTTTCATCGAAAATATAGCAAATTACAATGTATTGTAATTAATTCATAAATGTTACGTACTCTATCAAAAGCGGTTATCGAAAAATGTATATTTCTATCTCAATGCCGTCATCAGGCCAGTTTAAATATATGACGTAATTATAATTTATAACAAAGTAAATATTTCCTGCAGCAAGGTGCTTGACATTCAAAATATTATTATTAGATAAGTGGTGCTTAGCGGCTAGCTCGAGAACAGTACTAAATGTGTTGATGAATCATTTGTTGTTTACGTTAATATCTTTCCACAGGAAAGCTGGTGCTTAAAATTCCCTGGAAGAATCTGTATGGCGCATCAGTGGAAGCAACAGTTGAACGTCTGTTTTTGATTGTCAACCCTACTGCTGAAGTTAAGTATGACCGTGAGAAGGAAGAGAAGATCGAGCTGGCTGCCAAGCAGGCTGAACTGGCGAGGGTCGAAGAAGCCAAGAAGAGAGAGGCGCAAAAAGGTACTGATAGTTATTTTTACAATTTTATCATCAGTCTGCAGTTCTGCAGTAATACCTTTCGCTATCGCGTGTGCTAATGGAATAAATTATAGCAGAATAAAAGTAAACCGATATATTATTGTCACAGTTTCATACGTAACTTTATAGGTCGGTTTATAGTCTTTTTTGTTCACTTATGATTTATTCATTTATAGTTCGCAAAACCGAATAAACATACATATGTGTTTCTAGGTTGTATATTGGCGACCTGAATATAGAATTCTAACTCTTTGCTAATGTTATCGTTTAACTTTAAAACTAATATTGTTTAAAGAGTTAATAGCATCCACGTAATATTGTTTTTCTAAGGTATATTAACTTTGGTTAAACATTAATCAAGGTGAAGGATAGCTTGTAAAACAGTATAAACGAAAGACGTTGCTTGTTTAGCATACCATAACTTATGAAAAGTATTTACCTATTTAGTAAAATTAATGTTTGCGCTATGAAGTAGACCTTTCTATAAATTTTACTCGTGTTCGAAACTAGATATTTTATAATATTTATGAAGGAAATAGGACCGCCTACTCCTTTACTTTCATTATTAAGTAACTAACTTATCTTATTTACCTTATTACACCTTAGCATATTAAGATAATATTATGATTTAAAGAATTAATCGAGTAAACTAATCAATTTATGCCATATCTTAATGCACGCTCATGAGTTCTCCGAACGATTTGATCTCGGCTTAAATCCCAAGGTTAAGTGCGGACCGAATCTTGTAAATGTATCACAAATCACAATGTATTTTCTACTATGCAATGTCAAATATCTGTTTCTTATTTTTAGATCAAATTAAACTCGATGAGACGTTTGTCGAGAAATTGGCGACCCAAATAATAAAGAACGTGCAGCTGAAAATCAAAGACATACACATACGATACGAGGATGGCATTACGAATCCTAAAGCGCCTTTCTCCTTTGGTATCACTCTGCACAACTTGTCCGTCCAAACCACAGACGAAAACTGGCAGAAAGCACTCATTACTGATGCCGTTACCAAAATTTTCAAGGTATTGCCTTTGTTATACAGTAATTTATATTCTATGGAACTTTAAAAGATAAAGTTGAAGGTTGCTCGTATTATGTAAGGTCACGACGATTATGTTTGGTATTTATAAACAAAAAAATTCAGCGTAGTATTTAAAATTACGTAATTAAACTTATTTCAAGTAATAATAATGACTTTCGTTGGTTGGAAGTTATATACATACCTTATGTCGTTATTAAATATAGTTGTAAACGGAGGAAACATGAGGAAACCTGGGCTTATAATTTCTAATTATAAGTTTGAAATCGCCAACCCGCCTTGAGCAAGCGTGGTGATTAATGTTCCAACCTTCTCCGTGTGAGAAGAGGCTTTGGTTAGTAGTGGCCTCGTACAGGTTGATGATGATGGTGATGATGAATATAGTTTTTGGAAAATAGGTCCGTTTTTGTGTGTTATTTTAACTGAAAATAATTCTATCAAGTTTATTTTCACGAGTAACAAAGAAGGTATCCTTATATTTGAATTAAATATTTCCTTACCTAACAGATTCTAGACTTGGAAGGTCTAGCAATTTATTGGAACCCTGCCACAGAAGTGTATTCCCGCTCGGAACCAATGCAGATAAAGGATAGACTATTGAATGAGATTGCGACAAAGTCGTCTAAGCCAGAATTTTACCACTATGGTAAGCGTTTTAGCCTTACGTATAAGAATATGAACTTGTATTTTCCGATATTTAATTGAAAAGGTACTATAATAAACTATGTGTATTTTAGCTCTGGGCCCAATAAATGCAACAGCAAAACTAAAACTGAACCCGAAGCCGGAAGGCGACACGCCTAAATTTAGTTCGCCGAAAGTGATCCTAAGTCTACACATGGAGCAACTGTCAGTCAGCCTAACTAAAGCCCAGTACCAAGATATGATGTTGCTGGCAGATTCTATGGACAGAATGAACAAACAGGCCCCATACAGGTATCTTGATTGATGTTAATTGTGTTACTGCACTGCATGACCCGTGATTACTCTTTTGGCTCGCCTCTTAGTAGGTCAGGCAAACTTGTACGGATAATTTTTATTACTGCGACTGGGTTTTTTACGATTCATAAAAATATTGAAATTGCTGATATTGGACAGAATTCTATACTTTTGGTCTTAAATGTAAATGCTGGTGGGTCATTGGTTCGATATCTATGATAAATCTATGAAGTGGAAATAAACTAGTCTTTTCCGCATTTATTGTTTCCGGCGTAAGATAATAATTGGCTCACTATCCTATTATATGGGACTTATAAGTGTGTATTAGGTATGTACACGTCTCGCCTACGCTTTCGGGCATTACTTAACTTTCTTACATAGTTTTTGATTAGCAAAAAAGACAGGTATTGTTCATTACATTCATGATCTTACATCAGGAATGTAAAAATACTAAGTAATGTCTTATAGTAATATTTTTTTTTCTAATAAATAAAATGTTAAATATTTTGATCACAGAAAATACCGTCCAGATCTAAATACATATAAACGCCACTACAAAGCATGGTGGAAGTTTGCGTACACGTGTATACTCGAAGAAGAGGTACGTAGACGACGCAGGAACTGGGATTGGACGCATATGTTGGAACACAGACAGCTTTGCAAGGACTATGCGACGGTCTACCAGTGTAAGCTGAGTAATAAGGGCAAAGTCTCCTCAGAACAGCTATGTGTTTTAGACAAGGCTGAGAAGCATCTCGACCTCCTTAACCTCGTGGTGATCAGACAGAAGATTGAAATGGAGGTATGTGAATAAATCTTTGGTACTGCGACTAGAGTTATTTGATATAATCCATTAAGACAATTAAAATAGTTTCTATGATACCTCTAGGCTAGGTATGCTAGAATCCATATAAATAAGTATAATAGACAAATATTGTATTGGTTATTTATTTAACACTAGCTACATAGCCTTCCTATAGCCTATAGCCTTCCTCCATAAATGGACTATCCAACATAAAACAACACGATTTTTTCAAATCGGATCAGTAGTTACTGAGATTAGCATGTTCAAACAAACAATATCTTCAGCTTTATAGTACAGTATAAGATTTTTTGAACCTATGTTTTCAGGTTGAACGACTGGGTAAACTCGAAGAGGAAGCTAAGAAAAACAAAGGTTGGTTCAGTGGTTGGTGGTATGGCAGTGGCTCTAAAGAAGACGATTTGGCTGAAGGAACAGCTATCAGTAAGTATTAAAGTGTCCCACTAACCTTACACGAGACTTTTCAAAGGAATGCTTTCATAAAACATCTTATGACAATAAAATGACATCACTAAGATACAGATATTCCGCAAAAAATATCTCCGACTAATAACGAAAAAATATTTATTTTAGTGAAACAATTCGAAAAAGCAATGACGCCCGAAGAGAAAGAAAAATTGTTCCGTGCAATAGACTACCAAGAGAACTCGGCACCTTTACACTTGCCGGTCGAGTACGTAGCTGTAGAGAGCTATTTCCAATTGGATCGGTTGCAGCTTAGAGTGACCGATGAGGTCGAAGTGTTGAAGGCCTGTGTCGATCATGTTGAGGTTGATATGAAGCAGCGACCTAGTGCTAATGCGTTGAGGTAAGTGACATAAGTTTTTATGTCTTAAGTACTTTATGTTCGTTTCTGTTGCCATTATTTTAGGGTCGTGTCATGGGATTAATCTATGCTAGCTTGGGCTTAAGACAAGTAAGTAAAAGGTTTATCGAAACCTATTTTAATATCTTTGTCTTCTGGCTTTCAGGGTGGATGTCCAGATGAAGTCTTTCAGTGTGACCGGGGTGCAGCAAGGCTCGTTTGAACCACAACTAGTCACCTCCAAGGAAGTTACAAACAATGTCAATTTGTTGAATGTTGTCTTCGAAACGAATCCTCTAGGTAAGATACATTTTTTTATTTTTGTCCATCCTGCATCGCTTGATAGTAAACAAATGAATATAATTTGACTATTATGTGGTGTTAACTTACCGTTATCGTTTTAGACGGTCTATGCAACCAAAGAGTGAAAGTCTCCGCACGTCCTTTACAAATAATATACGATGCACAAACTGTCATAGAAATTGTGAATGTTTTCAAACCAGAAACCGAATCTTCTGCGTTGACAACGTAAGTAAATGCAATATTGTTGTAATTAACATACTTTTATCTATAAGGCAATATTTAGTGCGTCCATATATCGCGCCAATACATAGATATTCGTAATATTTTGTTTGCGCAACACTAAACGTTTTGCGCAGTAGGTGCAATTATTTTGCGCAAGTCTAAATTTTGGTGTAAATTATTATTTAAAATAATATAACTAAAATTCTATATTTGTAATAAATATTTTTTTTCTATTTTAGGTTACAAGCTGTGGCAGAAAACAAACTGTCGGATCTCAAAGAGAAGTCTGCATTAGGTATGCAGTATGCTGTCCATCACCACACATTTATAGACCTTGACATTGATATCGCCGCTTCATACATTATAGTTCCCAAAACTGGTATCTACAATGAGTAAGTATTTAAGTAAATAGATTGTTACCCAAATACGACTTTAATTAGTAAGTTATTAGGATCAGTATTGAAGTTCAAGCAAGTGCTTGTATGTTAATCTAAATACGACTTAGAAACTATATCGTTAATAAGACTGAATTTTATTTGCTCCAACAATCAAATATTTACAGGGGTGGTGCTTGTGTGGTAGTCAAACTCGGTGCCATAAAAGTGAAGTCTGAGCCTCGTTCCCAGGCTTTAGATGTTCACAAATTGTACAAGGAGGGGTTGGCCGATGAAGATATACTAAGAGAGATAGCACGTCACAGCTATGATAAAATGGCTCTTGAACTTACTAAAATGCAGGTATGAATTCTACCCTATTTATTTTTATTGTGTTATTTTTTGTGTCCTATCTTGAGTATGGCCTTTGGGATGAGATATAAACAACAGTTATGTAAATATCAGTATTTACCTGTAGCAAGTACTTACTACTTTCTTGGGGCATACTTTTGAAAAACACCTAATAATACACGATCTCTAGGTATAGTTAATACAGATGTGACGCGATGACTCAATGTTAAAAGTGATATAACAGGATGAGTCAGGTCAAGGTTGTGAGTTCCACTTTGCTTGTATAGTAAGTAATAACATTATTTTTATCTACAGATAGTTATTGCACATGCTGATGAGGACTGGCAGTCGGCAATATCATCGACAAACGATGAAGGCACGCCCCTACATTTACTTCAACCCACCAACTTAGTTATACAGATACATAAGTGTCTGATCACTGACGACCCGCGCTTGCCCAAGGTCAGGGTCATAGGAGAGTTACAGAAGATTGCCATCAGTGTTTCCGAAGATAGGTGAGTTCAAACACTTGATCGAAACCGAAATATATCTTGGCTGAAAATTAGGGACGTGAACATTCACACATTCTTCTCAAATTATCTGATACCTTCGCAAAGGTTGCCGGTTAGTTGCCGCCTCTTTGTACCCTTCTTATTCCTTATAAACTGTGAAATTGTAAAATTTTACTTACTTATTGTACAATAAAGTTTATCATCTATCTTCACGTTCAGTTCATATTATGTTTCGCATGATAAAAATCTCGTCGTGAATTGATCTATCAATATTTGTGTTAATTCTAAAGATTGTGTGTCTAATAGATATTATTAACCATCATAAAATGTAATTTTGCGATACAAGAACAAAGATTTATTTGTAAATACGTTTCGTTGCAGATTATTGGCATTATGCGAAATATTAGTAAGCATGCCTCTACCAAAATCAGATGAAGCTACGCAACTAAAGGTTTGTAAAAAAATATTTTTATTACTTCCATACGTTCCTTTATTATGATTTGATTTCAATTATTAATAATTTCCTTTTAATTTAAAGATATTTTGCTACAAATTTGCGTACACTATGACTGGTTCTGTGATAGAGCCAGCTTATACAGTTAGAAGTGCTCACCCGAGCCAGGCGCTGGTGGTAACTTCCTTTGCCAACAGACAGTAGATGTGATTAATTTCACTTCACTATCTTATTTAGACATCACTATAAAAAGTATAAACATTAAAGTATTGTAAACTTAGTTTAGAATTAAATGACTGTAAAATAATAATTAATTAATATAATATCACACCATTAATGTAGTACTATTCTTCATTTTAATTAGTTATTATGAGTTCTAAACTAATTAACTAACATTTGAGATATTTTTGTTAACTAATGTTTACTAATTTTAGCAAAGTGAATCGAAAGCGTCAAGTTTGTCGCTACTGAAATATTTGGATCCTATGGAGAAACAGAAGCGTGAGGCGGCTCGCGCTAAAGAGAAGAAGAAGAAAGATGAGCATACTGTGCAAATGACTGAGGTTGAAGCTTTCTTTATTATGAAAGGTAAGACAACTATAGGTTCTATGAAACATGTTAAGCGAAAATTAGTCATAAAATTTTACAGAAATAGTGGTTGAGTATTTACGAGAGGAATACAACTGTTTTAATTTCTTGTTCTTCTCTCTACGTCATGTCATGTTAAACCATTTGGCTTATTTTTGTTTATATCAAATCATGTTTGTTCTTCAACAGAATTAATTCTCAGTATCAACAGAAAGAAAACAGATGCGTCGACTGGCTACGACAAATTCTTAGTCTTTTCGCTAGCGCTGTTAGAAATGACCGCTGTACAGAAGACATTTACACTAGAAACCATAATCCGTTTGGGATCTGTGAAGTTACAGCATCATAGAGTTGGGTATGGACTGTCAGTCTTAGATATCATTGAGACACCCGAAGTCGTGATAAAAGATCAGTGTATTGAAAATGTTGCAATCGATAAAGTACACACACAGTATCAGAATCGATACCTATTCACTGTCACATATAGAAATGTAAGTAGCTATCCTTGGCATGGAAAATAATGTTACGTTAAATACATCAAATATTGTCTTACATGAGTAAACTTATGAAATGTTTTCAGGTTGATAAAAAGTGCCCAGATTTTAGAGGCATTTATGGTTCCGTAGAACAAATGATTGAGTTGGATTTCACTAATTTGAGAGTTCTACTACACCTTGAAGGCTTGCGCGAGATCCTTGTGATCGTAAATGAATATCAGGTATGTAGATACGATACTAACTAACTATTAGCACACTATAAATACTCGGTAATAGGTATGTGCATTGTTGATACGAGTACAACCGTTATTAATAAAAGGGTGTGCTCGATAATTTCAAATCAGGAGCTCATAATGTTGCTAACGTTGCTGCTAAGCTAACCAACTCAATAACAACGGAAAAGTGTCAACAAACTTTTATTTTCTTAACTTTTTCTTTTTCTGCACACAAGTAATTTTCTTCATTCAAATAATATGTCTAATATTGTGTTACCTTATTGTCAGACTCGAATGCAAGCTATTCAGAGTACAGTCGATAGAACAGCTAATGCTGGACCACTGGAAACAATCATGGAGGATGAAGAGTTTGTCACAGCTAAGTCTAAAGGTAAGTAATCATAACTACACACATAAATTAAAACCAAAAACAAAAGATTCATTTTGGGTATAATGTTACTATTATTATCCACAGCTAGTGTAACAAAGCCATCACGTCAAAAGCAGGTGGAGAGCATACAAATGAAAGTCAACTGTAAGATCGGGGCAATAGAGATAGTTTTCGCTACGGAAAAGCGTCCTTTATCCGTGGTACAGTTGCAAGGTGCTGCGGCCGGCCTAGTACTTAAGGCGTCTTACACACAAGTTGATTGTACCATTGCATCTATTAAAGTAGAAGATCTCAATCCTGCGACTGTGCATAAAGAGGTAACAAACTACTTGAAATTTTAAATTGAATATTATATATTATAATTTTTTTTTATGCGTGTGATGATAATTATTACTTACTCTGTAATATGTATATTTTTAAAACGTCCCCGATAAATAAACAAGTTCCTAAAAGACAAATGATACATTTCGAATCGATTTATTTACAAAGGTTTACCATTTTTCTAACAAAATTGCCACATTTAAAATTACAATTAAATATTATATGGTATTAAATAACGATCGATTTGGACATTTTTCACAGATACTCAAAGTACTCGGCGGGGATGTGATGAATGTACAAATAGTGATGTACAACTTGGACACCTTTCCAAGTGTCAGTGATGTGAATATGTCGATAGATTGCCAGGTCAGCTGTTTGCGCATTATCTTCCTCAACTGGTTTGTCACCTCTATGTTGGTAAGTAACTATTTATTACACATAACAAATCTGTATTCTTGAAGATTCAGTGTGTTTTACATTTAAAACGATACCTTCCGTTAATAGGAATTCCTGAACAACTTCCAAACAGCCCAACAGGCGATTATTGACGCATCATCACAAGCCGCAGACGCAGCAAGGGCAAACGTACAAAACGCTTACACAAATTCAACAAAGTTATCCCTTAAAGTACGCCTAGCTGCGCCTATCATTATTGTGCCAGAAAACTCCAGGAGTAATAACGCAATGCTCATAGATTTGGGTGTGATAACTATAAACAACAAGTTCGTGGACCTGAATGTCGTTGTGAGTATGCAAAAATGTATAAGTACAATTTTGGACACATCCATAACGAAATTTTTTTTTGTTTGTATTGAAATAATTGGATGAGTCTATGAATGTATCTAGAAGTAAAATAGTCTAATATCTGATTGTGTGACGGTATATTTTGTCATATTATAATTCTTAGGATGTCAGCAACAAAGTAACAGTGGACGAGTTAACTCTTGAACTTGAAGATATGAAAGTGTCGTGTGTGAAGCTAGAAGATAATTACAAGGACGCTATACAAGAAAGGAAGTTGCTGCGGCCGACCAGTTTCAAACTGTTCGTTAAACGTAGCCTTTCAAGCTGGTATGAATCATTGCCAGACTTGGATATTTCAGGCAGGATGAAAACCATTGCCGTAAGTGCTACTACTCTGAAGAGAACACAACCTATTCGTCTTTTTATATAGACAATACTTTAACCTAACTTACATTTCAGATCACAGTAGGTCATAGCGACTACAAGAGTATTATGAAAATACTTAACCAAAATCTGCAAGAAGGTGCAAAGGCCGAAGATAAAGCCGCTGCAGGACTAGCTAAAACTGCGTCGAAGGCCACTGTGAGACCGAGTAAAACACAGTCCAAGTCTGTGGCTGCCGTTATATCGTCCAAGGAGAATATAGTAAAAAAGCCTAGAACTACTATTAAGTTCTCTTTCACTATGGACAGCTTCGTCATAGATCTACTTAATACCATTTCCACTGTAAGTAGGTGATTGTTCTGTCTAATAATTCTTATGAATAGTACTTTGTTTAGACAAAGATATTATTAAACTGTATTATTATTTCTCGTTGGCGTTGACTGCCTCGTTGGCCGAGTGGTTGCAAGTGCGACTGCCGGTCAGGGGTCTCGGGTTCGATTCCCGGGTCGGGCGAAGTACTACTGGGTTTTTATAAATTCTCAGTAGTAGCACGGAGTCTGAAATTGTGCCCGGTATATGGCAATGGGCGTGAGCCTATTACATGGGACTCATAACATAAATAGTGAAATGTGGGTGTTACATTGTACAGTGGCATAATGTACACCTCTGCCTACCCCTTCCGGGATTAAAAGGCGTTATGATTAATATTTCTCTCAATTGTGACTTACTATCTTTTTAGGTACAAGACGGAGAATATTCAATGTTCTCCCAAGACGTGGATCTTGCGCGTTTCTGTATGGCACTGCTCTCAGTGAAAGGCAGAATGCTATCAGATGGTTCTATGCAAACCTCTGTGTTACTTGTCGATTGCACGCTCGATGACACACGACCAGGCAGAGGGAGTAAGCTGACCAGGTCAGTATTGTTCTCATTTAAACAATAATAATAATAAAAAAACAGTAGCATTAAATGCTATAATGTGTGCCACTGCATACCCCTTCGGGAATGAAAGGCGTGATGATGTTATGTGTTAATGATCGACTTATCGTCAAAGTGGGTCATGATTGTAATTCATTGATTGTGCAACATATTATATTCTGGTGTGTTGAAAAGTTAAATTTGATGAAAAAACAATTAAAAAGTGTAACGTTAAGAGTTTCTAAGCTTGAATCTTTATTCTTTTTGACCTTTATTCATTTTTAAATTACTGGTTGGGTTAAAAAAAATATGGTTTTACAGATACCTAGAAAGACGTCGGTCCCACAGATCCGACTCTATTACTGGTAACGACAGTGCGATGGAGGCGCCTGACAAGATACGCAGCATGATCGACGTTACCTACACAATGAAGAATAATGATACATTCAGTAAGTTTCTCCGTAACATTTTCAATTAATATTGCAAATAGATTATAATTATTATGGTTTAAATCAATCAATAGATTAGAGACACTTATGAAATGTAAATATTATGTAAGTTTTATACATGATAGCATTTTCCATACGCCTTCATAGGTGTACCACGTATTATTAAATCTAATATAAATTTTCACTTGTTAGGCCGTGTAGTTATGGGGATCATACACAATAAACCAAATCTACTATAGTTATCGTTGTAGTATTTATTTTAAACGTTTTTTCACACCGATATTATGTGTTGCAGTTGACATGAGAATCTTCAGTTTTGATCTTATATTGGCGATGGATTTCCTGAATAAGATCGCGGAGTTTATGACGACCGGAATGGCGGACGATGGACAGAAACCGAAAGATGAGGCAGCAGCCCCGCGAATGCCTGATAAATCTATTGATGTTGTAGCGGTAAACTATAATCCAAAATAATTATTCTAAGAAAAACTTTGTACTACACAAATTTCAAACTTGACATTCAGGTATTTTTTAGTGAAACTGATCAATAATAATATAATATCTTAATTTTCTATTTGTCTTTTATTCGACAGAAGAGGAAATCTACAGCAGTATCGACTGCAGTAGCCGAACCACCATTACTATCAATGATGACAGTCAATATAAAGATTGAACAACCAGATATTATTCTCGTGGAATCCCTAGAAATGAAACATTGTGAAGCTTTGGTGTTGAATGTACGTATTTCTTTTTAATTTAATATTATGGTTTAGTTTAGCTGTATATAGTAAGTTTTTTTAACTTCATTAATCAGTGTATTGTAAGAAGTGCTCTGCCCCAGTTCTAAACTTCTGATCATAATGAGCGGCGGTTATAGGCAAATAGACGGTTTTAATTTTACAAATCCTTAGATTTCATTGGGTGTTGGCTACACTTTATCTTTGCCACGACGAATTTCGATACGTAATTAACGCATCGAGGACCATTTTGGAATATACGAGTTAATAAATGCGTGTACGCATGCGTAGATGGAGGCACGGTTCAAGCTGAGGCGCAGTGTGGAGCGTATGGTGGCAGACGGAGGGATATCCGGACTACAGATGGTGGTGCGGACGCTGGGCGCCGACGGGCGCGGCCTGCAGCCGCCGGCGGGCGCGGGCGCGGGCCCGCGGTACTTGCTGGCGCCCACGCACCTGTCGCTGGCACTGTCGCAGCCGCCCTGCAGCGGGATGCACATAGACCTCGCCATCACTGACATCAAGATCACCGTGTCGCCTGGTCAGTCTACCATTTAAGTGTAGTGTTCACTGTGGAATTTGTGCATTCAAAATGACAAAAGCAAATATAATTAAACGCTTAATTTTGACCACAACAAATTATTTCCAAAACTAAGTTATTCTTTTTATTCACAGATATCATAGCCCTACTAAATCGTGTGTTGGCGACTATGACAAGCAGTGACGAAAATAACCAAGTAGAAGAAAACCAGGCAATATTCTACGATCATCTGTGGGCCATCCAACCTTTCAATCCTAATTCTTATTGGTTCTTAAAAACAGGTAAGATTATGTTCTACTGTTATGTCTAATTTACCAACCTTTCGGTAAAGATAAGGAGTTAGTTTAGTGCATCCCTCGCGCTATGTAACTCTTAGTTAAGAGCCGGTTTAGACCCCTAAACCGTCTCTTGGTTTATGAAAACGGCCATTAGTATCCTGAAGTTGTTGAATAGTACTCAAATGACACATTTTACCGATAGAAAAAGCAGTGGAAGCAATCGACGCTGAGGACGACGCATATGTAGAGATGGACGCGAATCCTCCAGTTGGGGAGATTTGTTTGTTGTCCTGTCCATCGATCATCACGTCCTTTGAAATGGAGATCGGTAATGAGACTATACCTGTGCTGGTCATGCAAGCTTCTCTCACTGGACAAGTCAAAGATTGGAGTTCGGATGTGAGTACAACGAACTTTTTATTAGAATTTAATTGGATTGATTATTATTATTATTCCGGTGTATTGGAACCACATAACTTTTTAAAAATTGGTCACTTGTGCTTCTCACATTTTAACCCACTATGATACTATGACATGACTAGCAACGTTTCTTTTTAGTTCTACGCCGAGTCGACATGGGCAATGCAAGTGTCGTACTATAACATTCAACGCGCAGTATGGGAGCCACTTATAGAACCTGTGGAAGTGCTGAAAGATTACCAATATAAACACGTGCCTTGGGAACTTAAAATGGAGGTAAAGTATACCATCAGTCTCTTAACAAGATTCATTTAATTTAAATCTAGACCTTGATGTTTAATGAATAAGGCTTATTTTATATTTTTTTTGAACAAATAGGTAGTGATGCACGCACAAGAGGCGCCAACAATAATAGACACGACAGATGAAGCTGTTAACTTGCAAGCTGTGGCCCAGAGACAAGCTCGTAAGACTGTCACCTTGTCCAGTAGTGAACCACTCGAGATCACCATTACTAGGACTGGCATGGAGGTGAGAATATATCGTAATGTTTTTTGGTTTAAGGCGGCAAACGAGCAGATTTATTATTTAAATGGTAAGCAATCGGCGCCGCCCATAGACACCCGCAACACGAGAGGAGTTACAAGTGCGTAGCTAACTTTTAGGGATTGGAAACTATAGTGTACCACAACTTCCTTTTCATGAAATAAAACTTGTTTCTTTCATGTTGTAGGGATGGAAGTACATTCGGTTTATTTTATTTTGTTTCCTGCCTTTGCATCGTGAAATGGTAATCAAGGAGTCATTAGTAGGATTGTGCTTATAATGTAATTGAAATATCCGAATATTGTGATACTAATGAGAGTCATTTTATTTTAGGTGTTGACTTTACTAGGAAACTCATTTTCTGCCGCTGGGGAAACGTCTTCCGAGGGGACAACCACTTCAAAGTCCAAAGTTGATGTGAGTAATGAAATATTTTAGAGAAATCTTCTATAATGACTTTGTTATTTGCAAAGATAAAGTTTAAAATGATAATTGTTATTTCATTGATGACGTGTCCATTGACTTGCAGAAGTTCATTATTGTTACCTATTTGATAATATTGTCATGATTAATTATCTAAATAATGATTTGAAGTGTACTTTATATGTGATGAAGACATCATTTTCAGCCATTTACAAAGACCTTCCTCGGGGCCCCTTACGTTCTACACAACTGCACCGGTCTCACGGCTAAGTTGATGTTGAAAGAAAACCACGACTTCACTGTTTGTCTTACTGAAGAATATGTTTCGTCGGACTACAGGTACATATACACATTTATGATAACTCAATGAGCCATCGTTTTGTCCAAATACTCAAACGCCACTCATTCTAAGTCGCGCTTAAGTATAGTTCTGTTACTATTTCTTTGTAAAATGACAGAGATTTACGATATTTAAGTAAAACTTAAAATTGAGTACACTTTCAGTATGTAGTCAGGCGATTATTTAGTCTTGTTTGTATTTGTTTTAGGGAAGTGGTTTTGGAACCGGGCGCTTGTGTGCCATTGCAGCTTAAACATGGCGGATTGAATTTGATGAAACTGAACGAACCACCACCTCCACTCAAATTAAGTGTTAAGGTATGCTTTTTTTGCATTTAAATACTTTATGCACATAGTCTTAGTTATTTTAGAAAAAAATACGTTATTATTATTATATTGTCACGCCTGTATAGGTTAGTCTTTTTAAATAAGATATATTTTAATGTTCTCTATACCTATGTTTGCTGTAAGACTATTTAATCTATACTTTCTGTATACGATGTTTAACGTACATAAACTTGCGCTGCGACGCACCATGAACTTCGTTTCTTTTTGTGTGTTACAAGAATACATGTTGTCTGCAAGTGTGTCGGGGCGTAATAAACGATTTCTTTTTCTTTTTTTCTTCTATTTCTATATAAATAAAAAATACCATGTTTCTTACAGATTGTGGAAATAGAAGACGAGGTCCAGATCCCCGTAGACCGTGCAGACAAGCGTTACTTCCCTCTAGGTCGCAAGTTGTCAGGCAATGCGATCGAGAAGAATGTTCCGCACGTGGCCGCCATAGAGCCGCGCGGACTCATCTCTGATGTCGTCATGCAGGACGCCGCGCTGCATATCTATCTTAGAAGTGTTGTACAGGTACCTAATAATAATTTGTTACTGTATTCAATGTGCACGTCAATTTTAATAGTTAATTTAGGGAGGATGATAATAGTTGGTACTGATTTTAACTGATCAACTGACGGTCAAAACAGATAAAAAGTGAAGGAGATGGAAGACATGATAGAGAGTGGGTGTCGATTGGTTGCGTTGATTGTTTAGAAACAGGTTTTCCATCGGCTCAATTGGAATTCCTGTTCCATTAAAAAGTAAGGGGGAGAAAGAGAGAGAGAGAAGAGAGAAAAGAATCTCTCCCTCTTTGTCCTTCTTTTCTATAATTTCTCCCATTTATCTCACTTTTTCTTTCTTGAACTATTGACGGAACCAACTTTGAATGGTTCTAGAAAAAGAAACTGCAGAACTTATTCCCTGTTTACTAAAATATATCTTTATGTATAGGTTACAAACACATTGTCAGTGAATGTATCAGTATACTACATGACACTGAGTGGTAACGAGGTGCGTCTGCTGGGCGAGGTGAAGCCGGGGGAAATCATACGACTACCACTGCAGGCAGTGCATACTCCCACTGCTGAGCTATTCTTTTCTGTTGAAGGTATATTGCTATTATAATTTTTATAAACTATGTTGCATAAAAAACAATGTACCTACCTACAGTTTGACATATCAATAGGTTTTCAACTTTATTATTTTGGAATAAGGTCGAAAACCTATCGAATATAAAAGCGTTACTTATATCTTTTCAAACTTAAGTTACCATTTAATGGAGTTTGTATGTTCATTTAGGTTTCACAGTATCAGTATCACCATTCATCTGGCGTGAACTGCAACAAGAAGTTAATATATCCAGACTACTGCAGTGTGATTCTAAAGATAAGAATAGTGGAGAGAAGTTCTATATAAAGGTATGAAAATCTGACCTAGTACTTATATTTCATGTAACGTATGTTTTACTCTTTGAAAATGTGCGAAACATTTGTTATCATTTTTCGAAATAGCGGTTATCTAAAAAATGCCTTTCCTTTAGGCGGTCGGCACAATGGAGCAAGTATTCTACGAGCACACAACCCGTCATACATTCGCGTCGTCTTGCTACGACATTGTACTCAAACCTGCCGTCAAACTACAGAACTGTCTGCCAGTTGAGATCGTAGTCTCACAACTTGGATTGAAGAGAACTCAAGTGTTCCGTCCTGGAGAGATGTTCCATTTGTCTCATTTATCGCCGAATAGAGCGTCTATTGTTATTATGGTAAGATCAATTAATAATAATTAAAGTTGTTGTAATAAGTCTTTTCAAAAATGTCTTTGCGTAAAAGTAGAAATATGTTCCGGTTAAATAAGTTTGCAATAAGTCACATCAAAATCTTATTGTGTCAAAAAGGTTTTCATAATTTGTAAGACTAAAACCGAATTTACAATTTAACCCGGATGCTAACTATCTCACAGTGAAAAGATTACGTCCTACTGAGTACCTTCTTATGCCGTTTCAGATCCAAAACTATCTCGACAAATGTTGGGTATGTACGAAAAATCTTCCAGAAAGTGATACTGAGCTGTCAGTATGGTCGTTTGAATCTCACGATAGTCCATCAGTAATGACGTTAGACTTGGGTATGCATAGTGTGGATTTGGAGGGCACACAAGTCTTGTCACTGTATTGTCCTTTCTGGATGCTCAACAAAACAGGATTCACTTTATGCTACAGGGTAAGTACTAAATATCCTCATCTTCTCTTGAAGTGTTCTAGAATCATGGGTTTTTTGTGGGAGCGATGGTTTTGGCGTCAAAATTAATTGGCTTCGAGTGTTTATGTGAGTGAAAAATCTAAATTTATAATGTTATTCATCGCTGCAGCACCCGTCGTTAAATTGGCATGTTATGTATGAGTGAGTTCAACTCAGTCTACAATAACAATTGAATTAATGTTTCATACTCTTAAAATACTAAACCATTAGACAGGAGACTCATGTGACAAAGTAAGAGTAATATTGAATATTAAAAACTAGCTAGTATTGATCATTTAACCTCTTCCGTATCTTCTACTTTTTATGTATTCTTTCGAAGCTATCAAGTATGAGTGGTACAGTAAGTAGAAATGCTATTAGGCTCTTCTGTCTAGTTATTAAATAATCCATTGGCATCTAATGACGTCGAATTCATTCGTAATTCGTACTTTTTGGAGTAATGTTTATATTATCACATTGGCCATAAATACATTACGTGGTTACAGAAATCAAAGAAACCAGAAAAAGACTCCAGCACTCCCAGCAAGGTATCTTTGAGATGATCTTAATCGTGAATATTTTTAATAGATTTTTTCCTTTCATTATTTTTATTTTAATCCTCGACTCGGTCGGTTTTGCTTCCTATGTCTAACAAGCCTCATCTCAAAGCAATAGTTTTAGGATTTTTTGATTTCGATATTTATGATCATTGCCTTGTAACCTTTATTTTTTATTGTAGCATGCGTCTTTCAGTGGGGTCATAGCCTAATCCATAAGTAAAATTCTACTTACGTTTACACCAACTTGACACAGTATCTGTGGTGTAATGAGTTAGATAAGTAAATCTGTGTTTTAATTTGAGTTATAACGAATATTGTATGCGTTGTCCATTTTATATAAATTACAGATTAAATATTCACGTTGCAGTAAATTTCTTAGACGCCATACGTCTTGTTTGCCGGTAAGTGCAAACATTATTAAAGCACTATAAAGTTATTAATTTATTTTGCTACATTAAGCACTCTCAAGAGGATTTTGGTATTAATTACAATCAGTTTTAGGATTGTCACTATCGGGTACAAAAAGAATGAAAATGTAAAAAAAGGCTTATGAGGTTCGTGTGTATTGTGTTGGGTTGTTTGCATATTGTTTTAAAGGATAAAATGCACACATAATAGCTTTTATTTTGTGGGTGGATTACGATGACCCTACTGTTTTTATTTTATTTTGCTTTTTAGCAGCATGTATTTTTATAAGTATTATTGTGTATACATTAGCGTACGATTTGTATCATTTTTGATAGTATGCATGGTCACACATTAACCTGAGTTCTATGTTCATCACCGAACTTGTTAATATTTTGTTATTTAGCTTCGTGGTAACGGTAAGCAAGCTTTGTGGTATAGGTTAATGCAAAATTACTCGCTGCAGCATTGGGCGTACACGACTACAACTGAAAAATATTTAATTACTATTTTATTTTTTAGAATGTGGACGAAACTGGTAACGTGATATTCCATCCTAAAGAATATAAGGAACCGATACTATTCTCATTCCGTGCAAAGAATTTCTTCGGCAAGAAGAAAGCTGCTATTCGCGTTGAATTTGGTGAATGGTCCGATAAGTTCTCGCTTGATGTTCCTGGAAGCTCCGGTGTTGTGCTGTGCAAGCACGAGGGCAGAACGTATCAGGTAAATCAGGATCTCATCATATTCTCGTTTTTAGTCTTATGGTGCGTTCACACGTACACACGCTTATAAAAATTATCATAGTTTTATCCTCATTTTTAAATCTATTTTTTCCCTATAGGTGGCAGTTACAAATCAACTTACATTCAACAGTTTGACTAAAATGGTGATATTCACGCCATATTTCTTGATCATCAATGAAGCGCCTTTTGATATCCAATATCAGGAGCTACATAGATCTGGTGACCCTTGGACTACGGTAAGACAGCATATAAAAATTGTATTTTTCGCTTAGTAGATATATCATAGGCCGATTCTGTTTTATTAGAAGTTTTACGGAACCGTTTATCAATGTAATGGTGGTTCAGTGTAACTAAATATTTTGTATCGTCGTAGGTGGCACAAAACTCAAGCGCTCCGTTGTGGCCTGTTATAGAAAAAGAAGACAAACTATTATTATTGCGCGTCGCTTGCTCCCCAGTACATGCTGCTCCATTCTTATACACCGAACAACATTCAGTCTGCTTGAAGCTGGACAATGAAGTAAGATATTATATTATAATGTATTTTATTAGTTACTACACAAATTGGGTTTCAATTGTAATTGCCGAGCGAAACTTGCAGTTTCGCCTTAGAAATGACTGAATATAAGATTACAACATCTCAATTGAGACATAAAATTTAACGTTTTACCCTTCATGTAAAGTATCAACATAATAAACATTACAGTTTATTATAGTACTAGTATAAATTGTAGAAAATAACAATAATTAATGTCCCGTGACAGTTTGGCGGTCTACACGTCGAAGTACAGCTGAGTGAAGGCGGCACTTACATCACAGTGCGACAGTACCGCGACGGACACGCGCCTGCCTTACTCGTCAACTATACACCGCACAATATCACTGTCTATGAGAAGGAGAACGTTAATGTTAAGTAAGTAACATAATTGTTTATTACACAGACATTGATTAAAAAACTTAAGGAACGGTTTAATTTTTAACAGAAACACTATAGCTACTGATAATACTACACTGAAAAGTACCTCTGGTTTAGTGTTACTTAAAGGAGAATGGCAGGTTTGTATGGAAGTTTTGTACCGCTATAAAATTTTGTATTAGTCATTGTTTTAACCAAGTGAATAGTCTGAACGATAGATATTTTTATTATGAAGTTTAGAAAAAAATTACATATTTTTAGAACTTGGGGTTCAAAAGTTATTTAACTTTGAAAATGTGCAAAAGGTATGTTAAGGTGGTACCACACTTGACATTGCGTAGTCGCTTCATTTATCCAAATATTTGTAGACTACGTACAAATGGCGTCCAAATAGTATCTCTATATGTAATGGCGTGCAAATATATAGCAAACAAAGAAGAATAAATCCTCCAAACATGTTCTTTTTTGGCCGAACACAACAAATACGCAACGTCAAGTGTAGAGCCACCGTAAGCAAAATATCTATTACAAATGACAGATGATGAGATGACAGTTAACTGAAAAATGTCAATGTGCTCTCATGTGGTTGTTTATTTACAAAAAACAAAAATCTAAAAATACTGCTCGCTACTCAAGTGTCTATTACACTTTGTATTATTAGAAAGAAAGAAAGAAAGAAAAACCATTTATTTTGCTACGACACACAACAAGAATTTAGAAACCCAAAAAATAACCTATGGTGCGTCGCAGCGCAAAAGGCAATTAGGAATGATCCTGTTAATTCAGCAAGCATGATGCACCTATAGAGTTTTAAAGAGTATCCTCACAATCTTTTTCATTTCTTAGGTGCCTACGAAAATGCAAATTCATAATGTAAGCGATTGTCATTGGGTAGAAGGCCTACATTTAGCAGTGGAAGTCTTGTGGCGGATATGATAAAACTAATGTCTCACTTCACCTTGAATCTTGCAGTAGATAGTCTCAAGGGTCTCAAGTTAATTCGATTTAAACTTAGCTTAGCTCTTTGAGAAAGTATTTCTTCTGAAAACTAGTTGCTTAGCACGCATGTAAGGATTAATTTCTAATAAGTAAGTCAAATTAGTAGAATCATCAACATTTTCATCATTAAGTCTATAAGTGGCCACTGCTGACCGAAGCCTCTTCTCGCATGGAGGTTTGAGCATTAATCACCATACTAGCTCAATGTGGGTTGGTAATTCAAACTTATAATAAGAAATTATAAGCCCATGTTTCCTCACAATGTTTTCCTTCACCATTCGTCAGCGGTGTCTTTGTACTTTCTTAGATTATTGAATATACCAATAACTCGGAAAAAAGACACATTGGACAAAAGGTACTTTGCCGTTGGTAGGTTTCGAACCCGCACTCTCATGCATGAGAAGCGGGCTTCTTAAACCTCTGGGCCACCACATTACAACTAAAGAAAATGTAAAATGAAAATGAACATTTTTGGTATAAAACTAAAGCTATCTAAATTAAATATGGCATTTATTTTATAGATTGATTCTTAAAATCACTTTTATCAAGATGGAATATATAGTTACTTACTAGGTTAAAATAAAACAAATGTATTATTTTGAAATACTTTTATTTCATTGTATTCAGGTTGTTTCTAGGAGTACTTCATCAAAAAGAGAACAGGCCGTGTCATAGGTACAGCAGACATCAATTGCTGATATCTGTAAACAAGTAAGATAACTGTAAATAAAGTAAACAAAAGTACATTTTTTTCCTTTAGTTTTATATGTTATAATAAAAGTCTGATTCCCTATCTTAAAATGGAAAAGATAAAAATAAATATTTGATTACATTACTTCATTTTATAACATTTATTATAGTTATTCGTATAACACAGATCATAGGAGCTCAAACAGCATGCTAATTAATAAATTATAATTATAACATGAGTATAAACCTATTAGAAACCGCTTATATACTCCACATAGATACATAATTATGTAGGTACATTATATTGAGAATGCATACCTGTTGAAGCTTTGAGAGCCGAACAACATCATCCGGCCTCATCTGTTCTACAAATGGCAATGTTAAAGTGAGGCTTAGTCCATGTTTACATAATACATTACTTCCTGATAGTGAACACTGTGAGGTGGTATGTCAGGTTGTGGTTTTATAGTTTCGACTCTTGTACGGTCTCTCAGTCAGTATGGAACATGATCTTCATCATGGGAAGTAAGCTAAAATAAGTAATATTATTAGAATATGATATTGACTTTAGATTACACTGTATATAGATAATAGTATGGTTAAATTATGCTTTATTACCTCTTGTGGCTGAATCCAATCAAATACTATATGAGCCAGTCTTTACTCCTGTTTGTTGGCGCCTTCAATTAAAACCCTGCGTCACCTTATCATTGCAATGAATCACCCATATACGACACAAACATGCCAGTGACCAATTTGTTTGCTGGACATACTTTCAGCAACATCCCGATACATTGCTAATTGCCAGCAAGCATTGCAAATATGGTCGGTAGGAGAGATCTAGAATAAAAAGAATAAAATGATACATTATGGGTAGATAACACTATGCGCCTTCTTTTATTCAGGCAACATGGTGACTTTCGATATGTTATGGGTAAACTAGGTACTTACATCTCTAGGATAAGTCCACATTGGGATATTGTTGACCACGTCTAATCTTCACTCTCATTTTCTAGAGCATGCCGTCTCATGTGCGACAAACTCTGAATGCAATTAATACACTGTAAATTCATCATCGCGACAAATAACAACACACTGCACAAAATAATGTAAATAAGTGTCTTTTCGCAATTGTCACAACAATGATGCCAATAATACCAATTTGGGCTACGGAGGAACGGTTGCCAAACTCAACGTATCACCAGATGAATAAAATAACTTCAAATTCAACAAACACATCATAACATCGCATTTGAAAGTTGAAACAAACAGCAATGCGCCAGTATTGACAAATTAATTGTCAATGTCATCAAGACAAATGCCAGTTCAACATTGCCATAATATTCAAGTTTGTTAAAATGTTAATTATCATTAATAATCCATGTAAACGTAGATTTAGATTGGATGTAGATTTTTATATTTACTTATAAAAATGTTTGAAATGGAAAGGAAAATATTTCATTGATAGATATTAAAATAAATGAGTTTATGAAATAGCGAAATTCAATATGCTCTGATTTCATCTTTAAGCATGGCAACTTTGTAAACGTCAATCGCGGTTCGTTTTACGTATAGTGGATTGCTTTTTATCATTATTGAATATCAGTTTTTCTAGGGTTTCCCAAGTTTTAAAAATCTATTAAATATGCTAACATAGCGTACTTAGGAGGTTCTATAATGACCCAATTTTTTAATGACAAATCTTTTTTTAGCGAAGCGGTACAATATCTGCCGTTCTCCTTTATCAAATTGGTAATTTTCAGGTTTTTAAAATCAATGCATAAGATGTTGTACACATGGGATAACCCAGCTGGACCGCGCGTTCTAATATTTGAAAGTCACAAAAAGAGAGAGATCGAAAACGACTTGAGGAAAGACGGTCTTGGACATTTCATGTAAGTATGAATACAGAGAGGTTCTTAACTATACTTAGGTCAAGATCGGTGTGAAATATTTGTAGACAAACCATAAGAAACCTCGAATAAGATTTTACTGGCTTTCTATTCATTTACTGCCTCATTGGCCGAGTGGTCGTAAGTGCGACTGCCGGGGAAGGGGTCTCGGGTTCGATTCCCGGGTCAGGCAAAGTATTACTGGGTTTTTTAAATATTCTCAGTAGTAGCACGGAGTCTGGAATTGTGCCCGGTATATGGCAATAGGCTCACCCCCTGTTACATGGGACTCATAACATAAATAGTGAAAAGTGGGTGTTACATTATACAGCGGTATAATGTGCACCTCTGCCTATCCCTTCGGGGATAAAAGGCGTGATGTTATGATGTTATGTCTATTCTTTTACTCTTTCACTCATATCCCTTAATTAAATGGAATAATACACTAAGCAGGAGTATAAGTGCATGCAGCAACATTGATAGCTCTATTCTTATAATTTCGTTACAAACAGTTGTATTTATTTATTTATAATTTGGACAACCGGTAGTTGTTACATTAGGTCTTACGTCTAAGCACTTACATAACAATAAATTTTAAATGCACAACATTTTAAGATGTCACAACATGTACAGCAACCTAACGATGACACTTTTATCAGAAAGTGGAGACAATAATATAAATAAGAATAGCAAATAGAATTATAAAATATAAAAAACCCAAATATATTTCTCATCTATCTTGGCCCAAGTATAAAATTTAATCCTCATTTAGTATTTTAATCTATCTCTGTGTAAGAAGAGGCCATTACTCCGTAGTATGCACTTATAGGCTGTTAATGTGGTAGGAATAAATATGACGATATTTCAATGAGTATGAATAATGTGCGTTCTTATTCATAGGATCAACGATCACACCAAGATACATTGGGTCTCGTTCCTGGACGGATTGCAGCGCGTGATACTATTCACAGACGACATCATTCTAGCCAGCAATGCATATACTGTTGGTGAAGCGGAATCCGTGGACACTGAACTAGTATTGTCCATGCAAGGCATTGGACTGTCCTTGGTAAACGACCCGGAACAACTCGAAATTGTCTACATCAGTATATCCAAGTGCGTAATTGTTTTATTTCTTATAAGATTTTCTTTAGTGTTATTTCGTCTAAATATAATATATTTTTTTTTATAGTTCTGGTATAATATGGGAACAGTGCAAACCCGGTGCACGCCGTTACAAAAAGATCGAAGGAACAAAAGTATTGCAATTAGAAGAGTGCTACCAAAGATATATATCTGAAAAGATGGTCAACGACGAGCCTGTGGTTCCTCGTGTCTTTATTGATGAGAAAGTTGAGGTATATTAAATAATTTTTATATGTCTGTGCGTGATAAAAGCTATGTTAGTTATTAACACCTCATAGGACTTGGTGACTATGTTGGGTACAAAACGCATTTTTTCCATAACTGTTGTAATAGTAATAAACAAAGTCCTCATTATGCGGAAAGTGTAAATAAAATGAAACTCAACTAAGCGATTAAACTTTTTCAAAAACTGCTTACAACAATATACCGGCTTACAAGTTGTGTACAATGAGATGATGAGTACGAGAATGTTGCAGGTGGACTTCGAGGAGCTGCGCCAGCTGAAGCCGGCGGTGCGCATACTGCGGCGCACGCTGCAGCCCGGCCTGTGGGCCTCGTACGGGCTCACGGCGCACTCGCGGCGCCTGCACGCGCGCCTGCACCGCCTGCAGATCGACCAGCAACTGCCGCTGCCCACCTTCCCCGTCGTGCTCGCACCAGTGCCCCCGCCCCGCTCCATCACCAACGAAGATCCCAGCGGTCAGTACATCTCATTTTAATCTTTATTTCTATCAAATAATTATTTTTGATCTGTACATCTTCTAGCAGTAGTCGTGGTAACCATGACTAGTAGTTATACGGAAGATAGCTATGTAGACATTGAGGTCAAACACATAGAACACATCGCTCTGTCGATTAATGGATTACACATTTGATAAATACCGAGCTTGTATTTTCCATTATCTTCTACTAAGTGTGGAGATTATAGGAAAATCGTTTATATAGAAGAGGTCTGTGATATGCCAGCAAAGGACTGGCATGGGCTGTTAAATACACAGATTATATTTTTAAACACTCACCTATACTTATGATTGATATGAAGTACTAAAAATATTATCTTCACTTGAAATAACTCTTGAGACTTTTTTGTATCTCTACTAGTAATAACAACGTAAATAGTTGAGTGTGACAAACAGTCTAATCACTATGGTCATGTCACCCTTCATAAGTTGTGAAGGGTTGATATTTTGACGAATTAAATCGTATTAGCATTATTGACCTCTTTTCCTAAATTGTGTTTTATCTTTTTGCATGACCGGGGTTTGGTATGCACGTAGCCCGAGGTATGCAGCGAATGCTAGATATCGCTAAAAAATTAAATACTTAACGCTATGCTTGCTTATTAATACTCAATGTGTTATGAGAACATGAATTAAAACTGTATTATATTTTAGGTATGAAGCCGTTCATTGAAGTGTCGATAGTGGAACGATTGATGGAACACAGCAAAGTGCGGCAATACAAGTACTATAAGGTGTTGATACAAGAGTTCCATGTTAAGGTCGATATGGGACTCGTCAACGCTCTCATGGGCATGTTCCCTCAACGATTGCTGAATGAACAGGAAGCGGTAAGAGTTCAATACACTATCTATAGTTCAGTTGACCTTTTAATATTGCAAAATTCATTTGTGAAATAGGGTTTTGGCCTTTGAATACCATTGAAGAAAACTTCGAATTGAATGTTTTAATATTCTTTTAGCTGGACGCATTCCAACTCGATTTAGAGAAGGCAGGACAACCATTAGAAGCGTTAGCTGCTATAGGTGTGGCATCAGATCTCAAGAATTTCTACGACAATTTACATTTGTCACCGCTCAAGGTAAATTAATAACAAAATAAAGTACATTTTTACCTAAAGTGATTCGAATTTTAACCTTGTTTCATTATGATTTAGGTTCATGTTTCGTTCTCTCTCGGTGGAGCTACTCAACTGCCAACGTTCGTTGGCACAGTTCTCCAGAGCATTGGCGTAACGTTGACAGATATGAACGATGTAGTTTTCAAGTAAGAACATTAATTTCTTTAATTTTATTGAAAATCTTGTTTTGGAAAGGAAAGTATAAAATAAACTGAGTGTTTAATATACTTTATGTTTCGGAAAAATCTTCAAATACTTTGTCAAACCTAATAATGTTATCGTATGTTATTTTCTCTCAAACTATGTCATTAATTTAATTTCACCCTCTACCAGATTGTCCTACTACGAAAGGAACTATGAGTTCTTATCTCAGAAGGAAATGATTGGTCAAGTTCAGAGCCATTACACGGGACAAGCACTAAAACAACTGTATGTGCTTGTGCTTGGACTCGATGTAATAGGCAACCCCTACGGATTGGTCGTCGGCTTGAAGAAAGGTGTGGAGGATCTCTTCTATGAGCCATTCCAGGTAATTAAGTACTTACTTATAATATTTCACTTACTTATTTGAAGGTGACTTAAATAAAAAAGACAATGATACATTGAATTGAATTATCGCCTAATGTCTACGAACACATCACACGTGGAAGTAACGTCGAAGTGACGTAGTGAAAATTGTCTCTTTCCCCTCTTGTTAGAAAATAGCTTTCTTCAATTTTTTCAGCATCTAATTGACTACGAATTAATGATTCGTTATTTTTTAGCTAAGAAAGTTTAGATGTAAACAAAGTAACTTCTTACAGGGTGCTATCCAAGGTCCAGGAGAATTTGCCGAAGGTTTGTTCCTGGGAGTGAGGTCACTAGTGGGGCACACAGTGGGTGGCGCGGCCGGGGCAGTGTCTAGGATTACGGGCGCCATGGGACATGGACTCGCTGCCTTGTCTCTCGATAAGGTATTATACTGTAATAAAAAGTAATAAACACACTGTAGCTTTGACCAGATATGTATAAGACACGTAACTATTTTTCGGTTTTTAAACTGTCAAACACCAAGCGGTCACCGGTGACCGCGACCTATTGTTCTTTAATTGTGTCTATAAAACCGGTACTCGACGAGTTAATATGACTATTCAAATCCATGATTTGTGTAGGACTACCAACGTCGTCGTCGCGACAATATTAACAAGCCACCTGCGAACCTTCAAGAAGGTCTAGCCAGAAGTGGTAAAGGACTCGTCATGGTACGTATTACTTCCAGTTAAACAATTTTTAATAATTTAGATTTTATCTAGCCATTTTAAATTTCTGTAAAGATTGTATTTGGTATTACTTAAAATAAACTTTGCGCAGAAATGATGGCTAATATGGATGGTTATTATATCGATTTTATCAAGATATCTTAAATGCTATGTGGTTCTACAATTCCAAACAACTAAACAGGGCGTGGTAGACGGCGTGACAGGGGTATTCACGAAGCCCATAGAGGGCGCTCGTGAGCAGGGAGTGGAAGGGTTCTTCCGGGGACTCGGCCGGGGCGCAGTGGGGCTTGTGGCCAGACCCACTGCCGGCGTTGTGGACTTCGCGTCCGGGTCACTCGATGCCGTCAAGAGGTGACGTCACACGCATGCTACTACTGCATGCTTCGCCTGCATCGCATGACTACTCATTTGTTCTGTGTGCTCTGCTGCTATTGTTTTGCCACTGTTGATTTTTGTATCGCACTTCTTCATGTTTACTTTTCAATCTATCTGTATGTTGATAAGCAGCGATCACTCTTCTATTTATGTTTCATAAACGTAGGAGAATATTTCGCTATGACTGTATGTTAACTGAATGTCAGGGTGTAGTGGACGGAGTCCGCGGCGTGTTGATACGTCCGATACAAGGGGCGCACGAGGGCGGCGCGGGGGGGTTCGTGAAGGGTCTCGGCCGCGGCGCCGTGGGCCTCGTAGTGCGCCCCGTCGGCGGCGTCGTCGACTTCACCTCCGGACTACTCACATCTGTTAAGAGGTGGTGAGGTTACCGGAGTTAGATTGTTTCGTAGTCTTATGTCATGTACTGCAGGTGTATTGATAGTGTATAGTTAGAGTGCGTATAGGGACTATGTTGTATGTTGGTACTTACCACTTGTAGCTTTATGTAGACAACATGGGTGTAGACATACGTTATGTTGGATCACGTACTAGGGCATTCACATAACTTTAAAAAGGTTCACTATTTATACATTCTGTAGTTAAAATGTAGCGATATTAGGATTAGTCTATAACGTGATAATATAAAATCAGTATTTACATTGACCCATATACTTAATCCAGGTGTTAGGCTATATTATGTTGCTATCACAAACAGATTAGTTTAGATTTTTACAAAAATAGCCTAAGTGCAGATAGACGGTGAATTTCATACATATTTATCTATTTATTCCGTTGTATTTAAAAGGTGTTGGAGTTTAACTGACATTATCTTGATTGACGCTAATACTTCGTATGTAATATTGCCGCTTTTTCTGCTTTTAGCATAACATGCTTGTGTGTATTGTATCTAACAAGAGGTTGTGACTCACACAATAATGAAACTAATCCCACTCTAAAGAAACTAAATTTACATTTTCTGCATTATTACATGAGTTTCACTATTTATAACGACTTACCAAATCAAATTACTTAAATATTAATCTCAAATTGTAAATGTAGAGCGGCGGATTTGTCTGAGGAGGTGACCAAACGTCGCCCAGCGCGATACATGGCTCCTGACTCGGGAGTCAGGCCATACTCCAGGCTGCAAGCTGAAGGATACAAAATGTTATTCGAGTTGGAAAAGGTAACTCCTGAATTTAACAACCTATATTAATCTAAAACCTCTGAATCGCTCTGGTTTTTGATAGAAACTTCATAGAATTATTTGTCAATCAAATCAATCTTATCCATCAATCTTTGTATGGTTTGATGGTTATTAATTTTGGTCTTATTTTATTACTACAGTAATATCACACCCAATTCGTACAAGAGCGAACAACTAAGTTTTCAAAATAAACAATATTTTAAATCTTTCTTTAAATGTGTATTTTGTATCATTTTTTAAATATTTTAATTTTTCAAAATAGGGCAAATACGTCAGCACTGATAGATATGAAGCTCACGTGTGGGTGATCCCTGGCAAGGAGGTGGTCATGTGCACAGACAAACGGATGTTATACATTGAGAAGAATAATGTGTTCGGCGGGTGGCAGGTATGGTATCTTTTATAAATATTTTATCTTCTTCTATACTTATAATAAATCTGTAGACAGGTCAATTCTGTACATGAAATATATTTCCAAAATAACTATCAGGGAGTTATCAGGGATCGACTGATGCCAAAATGCAAGCAGTAAAATTTTTGTCTGTCTTATACCGTTATACCGAAACAAAAACTACTTGACTAGATTAGTATTGTAACTTACCTATATTAGAAAATAAAAAAAATCGTATTATTTAACTGACGGCCTATTTCGATTTTTAATTTGAATACCCTTTTAACTACCCCTATTAAATATAAAATATCCCACGACAGAACATGCCTATCTTTTGTAGTTTTTTTTTAACGTTGCCTCACACTAGGTTTTTTTGTGTGTCGTGGGTGCGTTTACAAAGATAACTCGCGACATGTTGCGTGGCAGCCGGTTGTCCAACCACTGCACCAACCGTGTTGTCTGACTCACAATAACACGTGTAGCTCTCAATAGCTTAGCAGTTTCAAACTTTTTGATTATGTTTGTCTCTTACGTTTTTAACACTCTTAGTCATCTCTAAAAAAGTTAACATGGGTATAATATTCTTATTATACTTTAATATCCTGGACGTCACAATTTAAAAAAATTGCGACTCGATCCCTAGACACGATTACTGTACCAAATGCATACAAGTTTGTCAAATGTCAGGTTACCCGCAACGCAATTGACACTACGCCGTAACTTGCTGCCAGAAGCTAGTGTATAAATATAGTAATTACTAAACGTAGACCGAAATTGGTTTTCCGGCCGAAACTGTAACCGAAACTGAACTATCGGTCGTACATTACTGACTCTGACTCTGGAAACATACTTCGGTAACACACTAATACCTCCTCTTCTGAAGAACCACTAATCATTAACCATCATGTTATGTATCTACTCGTTTGACCCCTGTTTGCTATCCCATAAAAATGTTTAGTTCCATTCACAAACGAAGCGGGCAAATTCACCGATAAAAATACATTTACGCTGACAACAACTGCCGGTGATATGTCATACAAAGAACGCTTTAATTTGCTATTGCATGCGATAATTGTAAGCAATATTTCATGATGCACCATTTGAATATTTTTTACAAAGGTAAAAATTTTAATATTGCGAGAAGCGATTGCAATCGACGACCAATTATTGCTGCTTATAAATTAACTTTCATGGTTTTATCATTTTTTTTCATTTGTGACGCATAACTGTCATTCGATATTTTTAAGCTGTTATTAGTCGTCAATAATGCAATAAATAAAATGTTTCTATATTATATTAAATTAACTTTTGCACTAAATTAAGGTACCTACTTTAAATTTGTATCGACATAAACGCATCATCTTTTCTCTCTTCGACTAAAATGGTTTATTGGAAGCCGAAAGGTCATGTATAATTTATAGAAACCTGTCACCTCTCATTCCGCAGGTCGTTCCTATTTCCTATAACTAGTAAATATTTCATGAATAACTCTGTAGCGCTCTTATGAGGGTCACGTCTTATAACATGCGAATGTTTTTGATTTATTTTTACGATATTTCTTGACTTACTTACTTAAATACTAGTATTTTATAATTTATTTTCTAAATATAGTTGTACGGTGAGTTTTCAAGTTGTTCTGACTTCTAAATTTATTCTCTGTTCAACAGATTGTGTGGTCGTACCTATGGGCTGATCTTCCCGAAGTGCCAACAGCGGTGAACAAGGGCGTGTACATCCCGACTGCGAAGAGGAAGGTGCTCGGAATGTTCCCGACGTCGGGCTCCGGCAAGGTGATATTCCTCTACGACGAACAACAGAAGAAGTACTTGCTCGCGCAGTGCCAGCGCCTCATGCAATCACGTTGACATGAGGCAGTAGAAAGAATCTCGCCTACCGAGTGGCTGGCACAGTTCTTTCTACTTATATTTGATTCTCGCACCGCATTGCTTACTTTCGCCTATCACTTTAACATGCACCACCTCGGTCCGAAAGGCTTCCGCTAATCTCTTCCTCTCCGCAGTGAGCAGTGCTTCATATGGACTATATATTATGTTTAGTGTATCGATGTTTTGAGAACCGTGTGCTTGCTATATTTTTTATAATACCTTTTTTACGTGATGGTGTCAATGCAATTGAGTATGCTGAGTACAATTGTGGAATTCAATATCATGGTAAAGACATTTTGTATGTAGTTAGAGTTTTGATTGATTTTTACATATTTTTACCAGTTAGATGTGCTATGAGAGAGACATTGTAATTACTTTGGAATATCGTTGAACAGAATGTTTATGAACTTTGTGACAGCAACCCAGATATTCGTGATTATATAAATGCTTTTAGTACAAATCATTTGTACGACTTTCAATATAACTACGTTATGTTATATTACCTTTTCCCTTTTTCTGCGACTTTAAATATTTTTAAAGTATTTTCAATTGTATTTAAATATATCACTATGCATTTACCTATTTAAGATTAAATATTCTGTAAGTTGTTACAAGATTTCAGTCTTCCCTCATGTACCTACTTATTTAGACTTGTATTATTGAGTTTATATGCCGTTGATATTACAATTTTTAAAGTTTATACACAAAAATAAATTAACATGTAAAAAATCTCGAATCATTAACATCTGTTGGAAATACTCAGTTCGTCAACATTTTGGTCATAGACTTAAAATGTTGAGGTTCTATTGGTTATGTTATGATATACTTTTATAGACTATATGTTACGTTATTCGCAATGTGTTGTTATTGTAAGTTTAATATTACGGAGACAAAATCAGTGAAGTAAGTGTATTTATTCTGTATATTATTATGTTTTCTTATCGAAGCCTGATAGTACAAACATTCAAAAAGAGTCGAATTTTTTATACATTGCAATGTTTGTGAATTAATGGCAAAGCTAAGAGCCAGAATGGCTTCAACTGCTGAGGCTTTCCATACCAGTGCCTTAAGATCGATGTTTAGAACGCTGATATTTGTTTTTTTGCTCTAAAACTCTTTATTAATGATTGCTTTAAGTTTTTAGTTACATTGGAAATAGTGTTTATTTGAAAACTAAGTTATGTTAGGTTGAGTGCACAATTATATTTGCTTCGCCGTTGTGCGCTAGCATTATCAATGGCTTCGAGATGTAAAATTTTCTTAATTTTTTAAATATGTTTATTTGTTGAAGCGTTTACGCGTAATAGGTACGTTTAATTAGATCTAAAGTCAACTTTGTTATTATTGCCTGTTGCACAATTTACTTATTTGGATTTCGTTTTGTCTTGTTCAAGCTTGTGTAAGAACATTTTCAATATAAACAATATACAATAAAATGTGTTTTATTCTAATTGTATCCCACATCACTATAAAACGTTAAAATATAATAATATCAAAACATGAAATGAATAAATACGAAATAAAAAAGCGTTATAAAATTAGCACTGCGATTAAATTCGTAGGTAATCTTGCAGTTATCAGAAAGCTTCGTTGAAAGTAATTTTGGGTAACATAAACGAAACATTTTATTGATCCATAGCCTACAACATGGCTAAAATGACAAATTCATCAATGTCTGAAGTGATATTACAAATGTACGAGCAATATTTGCGTCATAAATCAAGCCGCGACACGTTTTGGGACAACCTGGAATGAAAACGTTCGAAGTATTACCACAAGTATTATTATATACAAATGAAAAAATATGCTGTATAATATAGTTGTTATACAGCAAGACGGAAGTCGCTATAACTCAGTATTTACAAATTACCTAAATTACGTGGTATTAAAATTACGTGGAGTTGTGAAATTTTCATTTCATGTTTTGGCTAAATCCAGATTTTGAAGTTTTCAGGCAAATTAGGAGAAAATTGATCTAGACTTTATCCTAGTTATCCTTGTATACTTACACTTACATTATCAATATCCATTAAAAAGTGTTTGAGATTTTACAAAAGGGCCCATTCCACACCAAGGTCACCACTTAGACTCCACCATATCCATCACAAATTAGAAAAAAATATTTGTGCAGTTACAGTTAGTAATGTTATTTTTATTTGTTGTGAAGACAAAGTTTGTGTAATGGGATCTAGCTACCTGATGCAAAATAGGTATTGTTAATAAACGAATATCCCGTTTTAAAGATATAGGCAACAAAGCGCTCTGCAACAACACCAACAAAACACCGAGAGGGAAAATAAAAAATTAGAATCACGAGGTAGAGTGTGGGCAATAACAGCGGCCATATGCTCAGTAACCGGACTGATTTCGTCACCCTTCAGAAAAAATGTGGTTAAATCTGCTCAAGGATCAGGAGGCGCACAAATACAGTCTCCTCCCCCCAGGTCATCACCAACAAGAGCAGCTATGGGTCACGTTTGTCCGCCGAGGCTTCGACAAGCGTCCACTACCAGAGACCATGTCGTAAATGCTTTTCTCGAGTTTACCGCAGTGGTGGAGGCAACCAGGCAGGTCAACATGCGGAAATGCGAATCCATTCTGCAGACTTACCTGCAAGGAAACGAGCTAATACTGAACGATAGACTCGAGGCAGCAGAAGCAGTCATATACGACAACAACACCTCGAGGGTACTGAGAGGAACCTCTATAACTCGAAGTATGGCTGCTTATAACGCAACTGCCGGATTTGTGTCTCTGGACGAGAGGGAATCCGATCGATGCGGAGTGTTAAAGTTTAAAACTCCTCCAGGGGATTCCCTAGTAGTGGTTGCCAAATGCACCAGAATTATGCTGGACGATAGAATATTAGAGATGGCAAGATCCATTTCTGATTCTGGATCAGACGGCGAAGTTTTTGGAGACTGGCATACTCCGACGTTTCGCTGGACAAATGGCGTCCCCGGTTGCGGAAAAACGACATGGATAGTAGATCAATTTGAAGCGGGCAAAGATCTAATTGTCACCACGACAACCGAAGCAGCAAATGCCCTCAGAGGCAAACTATCCTGCCGAATCGGAGGACTCGTCAAATCTAGGGTTCGAACAATGGCGTCCATCCTAGTAAACGGCTTGGGGGAGCGAGAGAGCTGCCATCGACTAATGGTAGATGAGGCTCTCATGAACCACTTTGGAGCCGTTGTGATGGCCGCCCGAATAACTCGAGCCAAGGAAGTCCTTCTAATTGGTGACATAAATCAGCTTCCGTTTATAGATCGTGATAACCTCTTCCCTCTACTCTACAGCCGCCCTACATATATCACGCCCATAAGCCAGGAATTGATGTGTACCCACAGAAATCCAATGGATGTGGCGTATGCCCTCAGCACAGTTTACAGTGGCATATATTCGTCCAGGTCGTTCGTGAGATCCCTCGAGATAAAAAGGTTCTCGGGGGCGATGATTCCAAAGTCACTCCCCGACACTTTATACCTGGTACACACTCAGGCAGAGAAGGAATCCATTAAGAACCAGGGATACGGGTCGACTGTGGGATCACGCGTGCTCACGATACACGAGGCACAGGGACTTTCGTGTGCGAATGTGATTGTTGTCAACACAGCAACAAAGAAACATCAAATACATGACAGAGTACCACACGCGGTAGTAGCAATATCGCGTCACACGCATGGTTGCATCTATTACACAGACAACAGTGAAGACGCGATAAGCAAACTAATCAGGAAGGCGGCTGATGAGGGTGAGCAAGGTATTAAGGACTACAACCTGAAAATGGCCATCAAACACAGGGACGCGGCAGTCATGGGTGCTCTCTTGGGCGGGGAGTGTTGCTTGTGATGAAACGAATGCAACATGAGGAAATGTGTGTGCAGAAACATGTAGAAATAGAATATGACCAATTGACTTTGGACTATGGCTTTATTGGAATCGGCCCATGTGGCAGGGGTTGAGGCGTCATGCACACATAAATGTCCTACAGTCGGTGGCGCTGTGTGTTGGGTTGTTCCGTTCCCAATAAAAAGGTTGACCGGACCAATTGCTGACACACACGTCATACTCGTGAACGGGTGCCTTCTGCTGGGTCAGGTCGGCTCTCCCATCTTGTTGGTGGGCTGGTTTCATAAAGCCTTTGAAATAGAAATAAATAAATAGTGCCTAATTATTATGTAACCTATACTTTTGCTAATAATTATAGATGTAGTTAATTGTAGTATGTAACTAGGTTCCCTCTTTACTTTATAAAAATTGACTAGATGTATTATAATTAAAAAACTGTATGACAAGGGCACGGACCTAGAGTCCGTGGAGAAATAATCTATAATATTAAAAAAAAAAAAAAAAATTTCCCGTTTTGATTAAAAAAATAAATGGTCACGTTATTTTATAAGTCAAGTCAGTCTAAATTAGACGAACATAGGATACTTATTATTCAAGAATTTCCTGAATATCTCATAGGAACGGTATATAACGGGTATGAAGTCACGTGCAGAAGCTACATAATTAAAAAAATTAGTATGGAAAAACCGCATTAGTACACAAGGGAAATCATCTTAATTCCTAATTGTGATTTTCTACTGTACTGAGGCATTTATTAAATTATCAAGAATCTGTATATAAGTATCTATAATTATCAAGATCTGTATATACATATAATTGCCACGTTAATATGTCAGGAGGTAATTCCAATGTGTGAACAATCTAATTAAGTAGCGAATGACATTAGTATCAAATTATCTTCGAAATTATTAAGTATCTATTAACTTATGTAATTATGTACGTAGGTACAAGTATGTGCGTAATGAATGTACCTCTATGATAATTGGTAAGTGATTTGCAAGATTTTAGAACTCATTGTTCGGATTGTTGTCTCGACAAATCCATAATATTTAATTTACTGATAATATTTATAGGCCTAAAATATGATGGTCCTTGATACAGTAGTTTTGTTCTCTTGTCGAAAGGGGTAAAAGTATCTACCTATATAGCCTTGAAAGTGATCCTGGCAGCGCCCATGAGCTTAACCAACGAGGGAGTCTCAGTACATAAGGTATATTAGAACCTACTCCCTCTTTGGAGAATAAGGCATGAGTTATATCATGAAACAATCTACCATCATTTGATACGTAGGCAAGCATCTACGTACGCCTATATGATTAATGAACCAGTTCAAAACACCGCCGCTAACTCAATTTTATCTCTATGATTAATATGTAAAATTTCATCATAAACTCGATTCAAACGTGTTACAATCAAACGGAGTAATAATAAAGGCCCCTTTATATTCAAACAATAAAACGGTATTCAGTGATGTTTCTTACGTCTTCAGCGTAATGACATCTTCACTTTACGGACGCTAAAATTTAGGAGATACTCGTTTAACTTATATTACTGTTTGAATCGAACGTTCGGATGAAGGGTTTGGGCGTAAGTAAACCTAAACGTTTTATTGTACAACGTCATAGCCATAGGAGTTACTGCCTTGTTATGTTTTGTTTACGATAAAAAACGTCTTTACAAACTTCCTTTAAGTCGAGTTCCTATTTATAAAACTTTATTAACTTGAGATTAATAAGTTTTGTATTTCTAAGTGTGGCAACGATTCGAAAGTAAAATCCTCGTTAGGCGAGTGTCGGGTTCAATTCTCGGATTAAGCATAGTAATAAGAAATTGAAATTAATGCCCCGTATAACAATAGATTGGCTATCGTTTTAAACTGTCAAACACCAAGCGGTCACCGGTGACCGCAACCTATTGTTCTTTAATTGTGTCTATAAATACGGTACTCGACGAGTTAATTAGGGATTCACACATAACATAATTTAAGTAAAGTACTAGGTCAATTAAATACGTGCACTTTTGCTTGAACCTCCGCGAAACAAAACTAGTGACTGCAGGTACAGCGTCCAGTTTTGTTTATACCTACGTAGGAGGTACGTTATGTAAAAATACATGCAATCTACATATTACATTAAACATTTGGCGTCAAGTTTTTACCTTTTCTTCAGTATAAAAGTCAATATCTTAATAAATATAACGATTTGAGAAATGAAAACTTCCCACATAAAAGTTTTTCAAGTCAATTCGTCTATTTAACTTTATCCGAACTTGCCCAAAATGAAGGCGAAGAAAGTCAAACACGCATAGATCGAGTTCTGTTGCTAACACATCAGTTCGTACCTAAGTTGGAAAGCTAACTGAAATGTCGTAATACTTGAGTATGATCAACAAATTTAAATTATGACCTACGACGACGATTGACGATTTTATTAAAATATGGTCCACATATGCAAATGTCATTCCTCCTATCAGAAAATAGTTAGGTACCTACTTAGTATATTTTTACATGATTTTACATGAACTGGTCAAGTGGAACCTTGGCAGAACTGGGTCTACGTATAAAATATTCTAACGTTGAAGGTTCCGTCTAAACGTAAGGGCT